CTATTTCAGACCTCCTCCCCTCTCCAGAGATAATAGCTAAGTTTGATGTTACTCTGCTGACCTTTTTCTCTCTACTTAATATATAAGATTTGTGGAGAGAAAGGACTTACTGTTTGTTTGTTTGTTTTTTTAAATAAGCAAATGGTTCAAAGACAATAAAGACCAAATATTTATATTGAAAACTTTTCTACCTGTCTGTGGCTCCCACTCAGTTCTCACCATTCAGTGTTCTTAGTTTATTGTATGTTCTTCCAGGCTTTCCTTACACTTTTTCACATACAGTATAGGTAGCATATTATGCATCTACCCTTTGCCTTTTCATTAAGCAAAATATCTGGATAATCTTTTCACATCAGTAATTGCAGAACATTCTTTTTCTTTTTTCCTTTAAATTTTCTTTTATGGCTGCATAGCATTTCACGTATGAATGAATCTTATCACTGTATAATTTTAATTGAGATTAAGTATCTTAAATTTTAAGGTTATTTTTTCTTTAATGTGAATCGTTTATCCCTGGAACTCTTAAAGTATTGGGCATATTTGGCTGGTGAACATAAAGTACAAGTGTTTTTTTCTAGTTTGGCATTTGACTTTGCTTATTATTGATATTTACTGTATGTATATAATATCAATTTTTTAACCCTTTCCCATTTAGAAAAAAAAGCAGCTTGCTGCCAGCATTCATTTAACGTCACACGTAGGAATGCTACGTTTTCTAGGATTTGACATTTTCAGCCATCAAACTACCAAAAACAGAATGCTATAAATAGAATGATGTCATGTTTCCAAAGGTTATCAATACACTAGAATGATGTGAAAATAATAATAAATGTGAGCTATTTCATGGCAAACTTTGGGGGTAAGGTTAGGACTGTAATCTGCGAGTTATCTTGGGGTAAACACTGCAGCCTCAAGCGCCCCCAGTGAGTATTCTCAAGGCAAATGGGGAAAGGTTAATGTTTTCTTTTTATTTTGAGTCATAATTAGAAAAGCTTTCTTCATTACAAAGTTTTAAAGAATTTTTCTTCCATACTTTCATCTTATGATATTTTCGGCATCTTTTTTGACATTTAAAACTTTTACCCATTTGGAATAGATTCCTTCCCAGATAGCATTTTCCCCCAAAGATTTATAAAATAATACTATCATTTCCTCACTGGTTTGAGGTGTCACCTTAATTGTATCCTTTGTGAGTCTGTTTCTGAATTCTTTATCTTAATTTATCGTTTGCCTATATTCAAGAGCCACACTATATTCAATATCTAATAAGCACCTCTCGTTACTTTTTTGCCCCCTCTAAGTTTTCTTGGCTATTTTTGTTTAAGTCCTTAAGTTCACATTGTAAAAATAATTTGGCTCCACACACTTTCTCCACCCCCCCCCACATCCCCAAAAAACAGATTTATACTGGGATTTTCTTAATTTCATAAATTAGAGGAAATTAATATCTTTATGATTTTAAATCTTAAATACCTGTATCAATATATAACCATTTTCTTTTTTTCTTTTAGTGCTATCACCATTTTCTTTTAGCATTGGTGATACTACAGAACTGGAACCTTATTTACATGGAGGCATAGCTGTCCAAGTTAAGACTCCTAAAACATTTTACTTTGTAAGTATTTTTTTTTTTTTTGCTTAAAAAACATTTCTTTACAGAAGAAGAATGTCAGAAGAGGAAAAAAGTAACAAAATAAGTACTGAGTTAACCAAACAATTAATATAAAGGCTGAACAGAATTTGTTTTTTTAATTTGTACCCCTTTTGAGGAAAAAGGTGTCAGTCTAATAAAATACACCAATCGCAACAAAAAAAAATCTATAGCTGGAATACCACATGCATATAATGGAGGTATATAAATTACCACAAAGGAACTATACCTTTGCGAATCATCGAAGAGCTGGTCAAAGTTCTTAAAATTACCTCCTAAGACAAAAAAATGAAACTATTATATTTTTGAAAGAGTTAGCAAGCATCGAAATACTGTATGTCTTATTGTTGAATTACTTACATTTTTAAAATAAAAGGAATATTTATTTTATTTTTATACTCATTAATATAGATTTTTAATTTTTTAAATATCAAGAAACTTATTTTGGAAATATTAAATAATTCCTATAAACTGATATTGAAAGGAAAATGTAAGTATTTAAATAGAGTAGAGAGGCTACTTTTATTAGGGAACTATGGAGTCTCTTGCTACTTAAATCATTAGGCCACTTCTTCATATAATCTCTTTTTTATTGCAAGTGTTCAAGGTTTTAACTTAAGTGTCTTTTCCGGAACCATTATTAGCTGAAGTGCTTTACAAGAGTTTTTGTACAAACCAAAATTAGAACAAAAGAACAGATTACAGTAACTACAGCTAGTCGGATTTGCCCCTGCAATACTTCCTCTTGCCACTGTCCCCAATTTTTAATTAGTTTATTCTTCAAGTAAATTTCAGATTGAGTGGGTGTTTGGAGGTTTTTGTTTCTTAAGGGTTTTGTTTGTTTGATTGGTTGGTTGGTTTTTTTGGCCTTAGTATGTTCTTTGCTCGGCACAGAAAGTTTTAGCTTTGAGTATTCAAGTCTAGTCAGGCATAACAACTCTTAATAACTTGATATCAGAAAAATATATTAATGATGCAGGACAGAGTGAATGCTCCCAAGTAGGGACTCGAGTCTTTCTCCGAGAGAGGATCCTTGGCATCAAGCAGGTAAGAATTCACAAACAAGCCAGAATGAAAGACAAAGGAAAGTTTATTAGAGAGGAATAATGCTCCATAGACAGAGTTGTGGTCTCCTCTCAAAGTTACAGAATGAGACCTCAAGCGTCCAAAGAAGCTGGGTTTTTAGTTTCTATGAAAAATTACTGATTATAGGGAGTAAAGAATATACAGTTTAAAGTCTTTATTTTCCTGTTTTTCTTTTGTATGGGTAAGCATTAAAGGTATGAGTTAATAGTTGTTAGTAATCTATATAGGGATCTTCCTTTGTTCTGTAGGTTTCTAATGGTTTGATCAGCCAGGTGCCATGTCTAACAGCACATAGCAGGCGCCGAATTCCAAGTTCTCATCCCTACAGCAGTAGCTTTTCATTTAAAACAAAAGATTTTTTTATCAAGTATATAGATGTTTTTACCAATTCTTCCCAAATTTATTATTTGGATCAGATTGTCTAATTGCATTTGACATTTAAAAAAATAAAGTATAATATAGTAGTAAGGGATAATAGGGAAAATGGTAGCTGTTTCATAATTCAGTTAAAACTTATTTGCTCAGTCTTATTTATTACAGACCATTGGAAAAGATCATCGCTTTTAGTGCTCTGTATATTTTGTCAGGTAATCACTTATTTGCACTGGAGTAATTATTTTGTTTGGTTTCTATTAGGAATCATTGAAGAAGCAGATAAAACACCCAAAGTGCCTTATTGTGGATTTTAGTAAACCTGAGGTAAACAAACACTTATAGATTTAAGAGAGGCAGCAGAGTGGGGGATGGGGATTGATAAGAGATTATAAAATTAAAATGGAATAACCATGTATACACGTGTCAGATTTTCTTAATAAAGATTATATTCACATATGTAAAGTTGACTCCCAAGGATTAAAAATGGGAATTTATATCATGGGAAAATGTTAGAATAATAGGAAAAAGTTTTGCTATTATAATGATATGCCAGCTTTGATAGTTAAGACAATTTCAATAATTTATGCAAAGGTGATCTTATTAAAAGATTTTTCTGAACTTTGTAGAGTTTTACATAATAACTTTTTCCCAAAAAACCTTGGAAACATTCTATTTTTTAATCACTGGATATAATTTTTTAGCAGAGAATGTATTTGTGATAAGGAAAGAGTTATGTTAAGTTTGCAAATTTGTAAGTATTGATAAGGAAAAAATTAGGTGATCTTTTACAAATGTTTTATTGCTGTTGTTTAGTTCATTTTACTCTAAATTTCATATAGATAACCTAGTAAAAACTAGTCATGCCACCCGGAATCGAGACTTACATATATTTCTAAATATTGCTTTATTGCCTTGAAGTCAAGTCAGTCAAATCATTTAACTTATTTAAGACTCAGTTTCCTCCTCTGTTAAATAGAGATAATTAATTTATTGTAAGGATTAAATTAAATGTTTTTAAAGCATTAGCATAGTGCCTGGCATGTATTACATTGGCTAATTTTCAATGTTTTCCATAGGCACCTTTAGAGATACACACAGCTATGCTTGCTTTGGACCAGTTTCAGGAAAACTATAGTCGCAAGCCAAATATTGGGTAATGTTCTTTGTTCGAGATAATTTTTTTCCTTATTATAAAAACAATATTTCAGAAATTGTAGATTAAAAAATTTAAAAAGTAAGCAACATTGGCGAACACATAGTATATAAACATTTGTTATGTTTAGTCTTTTTTTCTATTAGGAGTAGAGAGATTAATTTATAAAATTGGAATTATATTAAATAAAAATTTTCCCATTTTTGAAGTCTTCAAAAGCTATAACTTCTTAAATAAAAAACCTGAGAATTATTTAATTATGAATATACTGTGTAATTTTTCACCTTCTGGCCTAGTAAGTCATAAGTACTGTTGTAAAAGGTTTTTGCCTTATATATTTAAAACTGAATCTGATTTTGAAGTAACATATTATAAGCCACTTCCCTTCAAATCATTGAAGCACTTTGTGCTACCTGTTGGCAAAATTCCACATTTTTGTTTTTTAAACTTTAGAATTGAAAATGGCCTACTGTTTATAGCAGTTGAGAAAATTGAAATTGAGGTGTTTTTGTTTTGAATCCTAGATGCCAAAATGATTCAGAAGAACTGTTGAAACTAGCAACATCTATAAGTGAAACCTTGGAAGAGAAGGTAAATATTCAGAGTTACAGCCCTCAAAAAATGTGTAACATATAAATATACTATAAATTAATATTCTCTTATCCTTCAAATCCCAGCTTTTCTATTTATTGACTCTTGACAGTAGGCAATTTACTTGACTTCATTCTCTTTAATTTATAACTCTATAAAATGCGGTTAACCTACCGCATAGGGATGTTGTGAACATTAAATGATTTAATTTTGTAAAGTGTATAGAACAGTATGTAGCTTATAGTAATTACAATTTGCTGCTGTTGTATTTTTAGTATTAGTATTATATTATCTTCTGATTTACTTGGTTTGTTAACCCACTAAAACTCAGTATAGAAAGTTGTCAGCTTTCCTAAATCATTTCTTTTTTAAATTATATATTCATATCTCTTAATTGCATTTTGCATATCATGTGTGGACATATTACCTAGAAAATAGTTTTTCCATGTTATGGTGCCAGTGCTGGCTGGCCAGTAGTTTTATTTATTTTATTTTATTTTTAAATTTATTTGATTTTATTATCGGGGTAACATTGATCAACAAAGTCCAATAAGTTTCAAGTGTACAATTCAACAGTAAGTCATATATTATATGCATTGTGTTCACCACTCATAGTTAGATTTCTTTGTCACCAAATATTTGAAAGACCTATCTTTTTAAACCCACCAGAAACTACTCACTTTTTTCTTTTATTTTTGAAATTCTTGCCTATTACAATCCTTAATACTCACCCCTTTTCCCCCATCTACCTCTCTCCTCCCCTCCTTCCCTCTGGTAACCACTAGTCCACTCTCCATGTCTTTGAGTCTCTGTTTGTTATATTTGTTGGTTGCTTTTAGATTTATATCCCATATAAGTGATATCATGTGATTTTCAACTTTTTCTGTCTGGCTTGTTGCGCTTCACATGATTATTTCAAGATCCATCCACGCTGTCACAAATGGTAGCATTTCATTTCTTCTTATAGCTGAGTAATATTCCATTGTACATATGTATCGTATCTTCTTTATCCAGTCATCTATTGTAGGACGCTACAGTTGCTTCCATGTCATGGCCACTGTAAATAATGGTGTTGTAAACATTGGTGTGCATATATCTTTTTGGGTAAATGTTCTCAAGTTTTTTGATAATTAACCCAGTAGAGCAGGGGTCCCAAAGCCTTGATTTCATGGACCGATACTGGTCCATGGCCTGTTAGGAACCAGGTGGCACAGCAGGAGGTGAGCAATGAGCAAGCAAGCTGTGTTTGCAGCCGATCCCCAGCACTGGTGTCACAGCCTCAGTTCCACCTCAGATCATCAGGCATTAGATTCTCATAGGAGCATAGGTCCCAAGTGACAAAAAGGTTGGGAACCAGTACAGTAGAGGGATTGCTGGATCATATGGTACATCAATTCTTAGTTTTTTGAGAAATCTTCGTAACTGTTTTCCATAGTGGTTGTACCAATTCTCAGTCCCACCAGCAGAGTATAAGGGTTCCCTTTTCTCCAAGTCCTCTCCAACACTTGTTATTACTTGTCCTATTGATAATAGCCATTCTAACGGGTGTGAGTGAGATGGTATCTCATTGAGGTATTGGTCTGTAGTTTTTTGATGTTTTGATATCAGGGTGATATCAGGCCTTGTAAAATGAATTAGAAAATATTGCCTCTTCGATTTTTTGCAAGAGTTTGAGAAGAATAGGTATTAAATCTTCTTTGAATGGTAGAATTCACTGGTGAAGCCATCTGGTCCTGGACTTTTACTTTTTGGTAGGTTTTTAATGATTGTTTCAGTTTCCGTACTGCTGATCAGTCTCGTTTTTTCTATCGTGTTCTTGTTCTCAGTTTCAGTTAATTCTGCTCTGTTTTTCATTATTTCTTTCCTTCTGCTGATTTTAGGCTTCTTTTGATCTTCTTTTTCTAGTTTTTTAAGATGAAGTGTTAGCTTATTTATTTGGGCCTGTAATGATATGAACTTTCCTCTTAGTACAGCTTTTGCCATGTCTCAAAAGTTTTGATATATTGTACTATCATTCTCATTAGTTTCTGTGTATCTCTTTATCTCTCTTACTTTTTCCTCTGTCCCAGTTGTTCTTCAGTAATAAGTTGTTTAATTTCCATGTATTTGTGGTTCTTCCCTCTTTCTTTTTACAGTTGATCTCCAGCTTTAAAGCATTATGATCAGAAATATGGTTGGTATGATTTCAACCCTCTTATATTTGTTGAGGCTATCTCTGTGTCCCAGTATGTGGTCAGTCCTTGAGAATATTCCATGTGCACTAGAGAAGAATGTATAAGCAGCTGTTTTGGGATAAAAGGCTTTGCAAATGTCGATTATGTCCAGTTGATCTAATGTGTAATTTAAGGATATTATTTCCTTATTGATTTTCTGCTTAGATATTTTGTCCTTATCCAACAATAGGTTATATAGGTCCCCTACTATGATAGTGTTTTGGTCAGTTTATCCCTTTAGTTCTGTTAGTAATTGCTTTATATATTTTGGGGCTCCCTGATTGGGAACATAGATATTAAGTGTTAACATCTTCTTGGTGTATGATTCCCTTTGTCATTATGAAGTGTTCCTCAGTATTTCTCTTTACCTTTTTTATCTCAAAGTCAATTTCATCCAATATCAGTACCGCTACTGCTTTTCTCTGAATGTCATTTGCTTGTATCGTTTTCCACAATTTCACTTTGAGTCTGTATTTGTCTTTGAAACTAAGATGTGTCTCCTGAAGGCAGCATATGGTTGGGTTTTGTTTTTTGATCCATTCTGCAACTCTGTGCCTTTTTATTGGTGAGTTCAGTCCATTTACATTTAGGATGATTATTGAAATATGTGGTTTTCTTATAACCATTTTATCTTTTGTTTTCTAGTACCTTAGAATTTCCATTGTTTCCTTGTCCTTGCATTTCTGTTATTTCAATTTGGTGGGGTTTTGTGGATTTTCCCTCTGTTCCTTCTTGTTTTACATTATGTATCTCAGTTCTAGATCTTTGGTGTGTGGTTACCATTAAAATTATATAAAGGATAATTATACAGTATACAGTAGTCTATTTTCTTCTACATGAGTCTTATCTCCATTCCCCATGGCAAATTTAGATCTTTGATTCCTCCCCTTTTCTGTTATTGTTATCTCAAATTGTCCCTATATATGCTGAATGTTCATTACTATCTTGCAATAGCAATTCTCTTCTTACTGTTTAAGCTTATAATATCCTGTTCTTAGTAAGGGTTGCACTTCTCTGCTTCTGTCTGCCTTTTAGACGCTTGACTCATAGTTACGCATTCTTTTTATCATTTTGTTTCAGGTAAGCTGACCCCTTTTAGTATTTTCTGTAATGCAGGCCTCATAGTGGAGAATTCCTTCAGTTTTTGTATGTCTGAAAAGGTCTTTATTTCTCCTTCATATCTAAAGGAGAGCTTTGCTGGATACATTATTCTTGACTGGAAATTCCTTTCACTTAATAGTTTGAATATTTGATTCCATTCCTTCTTTACTCGTAAGGTTTGTGCTGAGAAGTCCAAAGATAGTCTAAAGGGTTTTCCATTATAGGTTACTGTCTTCTTTCCCTGAATGCCTTGAGAATTCTTTCTTTGTTATTAATTTTTGACAATTTTAATATACCGTGTCTTGAAGACAGCCTTTTTGGGTTGAGGTATATGGGTGTTCTGTTAGCTTCTTGGATTTGAAGCTCCAGCTCATTTCTTAGATTTGGGAAATTCTTGTCAACTCTTTATCTGAATATGCTCTCTGATTTCTTCTCCCTCTCTTCTCCTTCTGGAATACACATTATTCTTATGTTGCTTTTCCTGATGTCGTCAGCTAGTTCTTATATTTCTCTTTCATTATTTTTCACTTTTCGATTTCTCTCTTCTTCCTTCTGATTTATTTCTAGATTTCTGTCTTCGATATCACTGATTCTTTCCTCCAACTGGTCAGCTATATTTCGTCAGCTTGCTATTTTATTTTTCATCAATTTTAGTGTGTTCTTCATCTCCAGAAGTTCTGTTTGTGTCTTTTTTTAGGATTTTAGCCTCCTTGTTAATAAACTTATTTTTCTGGTCTGTTTTTTTCTAAGTTCTTAGAATTATTGATTTGAATTATTCTGCATCTCACTGAGTTTTTTCAGAAATGAAGTCCTGAATTCTCTTATTTAAGTCACATATTTCTATGTCTTTAAGCTTATTTTCTGGAGATTTTTCTTTTTCTTTCTGGGCAGCCTTGTCACTCTGGCTGTTCATGGTGTTTGATGGACTATTTCCCCGCCTGGACATTAATGTGATTGTGTGCTGCTTTTTTCAGAAATAAGATTTATTATATTGAGGTCTCTCTTTAGCCTGTTGATAAGAAGGCGTTTTTCTTTTGATTTCCAGTAGGTGGCGTCCAAGCCTCTTGGATCCCTGCTTTGAGACTTAATAATGTTTTTTTCTTGTAGCTATTCAGTCACAGTCTCTACCCTCAGTCTCAGTCAGTGTTAGCAGTAATTTTGATAGTGTTTGCTCAATTCCCTTGGGGCTCCGCAGTACTAGTTCTAGAAAGATGTGGTGGGTTGGAGGGAGAGTGGGATCTGGGTTGGTGGGTAGAGGTTGCTGCTAGTCTCAGTGTCTCAGCCTCCTGTTTTGCAACTGCAGCTGTTGCTCCTCCGCACTTAGTTCCCACTCTCCTTTCTGTCCTCATCCCTGGGCTCCGCTGGGTGGTACTTGCTGATCCTTCCGGCAGGGCTGTTTGAGGAACCCACCACAATCACTCCCCTTCCCCTCCTTTTGCTTGATGCTCCCGCTGTGTGAGGCAGCTTCTTTGACCTCCCATTCTACCACCAGACTACTGCAGTTCCAACCTCTGAAAGTTCTTATGAGCAGATCACTCATTCAGACATGCTTGTGTACAGGTTGGGTGTTATTTGTTGAGCTTTAGATGTTCAGTTCGTTATTCCAAGGGGAGAGATCTGGGGAGATCCCTCACTCCACCATGTTTCTGATGTCACTCCAGCAGTTTCATTTTAGCGATAGAAACATAGCAGTTTGTGCAGTTATTTGAAAATTGTATTGTTTTTGTCCTTATTTTATAAAAGTGAAGGAGAAGTGAAAGTCTTAACATTACTAGTAACAATAATATGAGCTCATATTTCATGAAATAAAAACGAAGAAAATAAGTGTACTGAAAACAATTACTAGTTATAAGCGAAAGACCTCTTATTGTATATTTAGTGGTTAGAAAAATGTATGAGAGGTCAAGAATCATATGATATCACCCATGTGGGTTATAAAACAAAAAGCAACAAATGAATAAACAAACGCTTAAACACAAAAACAGACTCATAGATAGACAGCAGAATGATGGTTACCAGAAGGTACGGGATTGGCGGAAAAGAGAGTAATGGGGGTCAAATACAAGGTGACGGAAGGAGACTAGACTTTGGGTGGGGAGCATACAATGTAGTATTCAGATGTCGTATTATAAAGTTGTATACCTGAAATTTACATGTTGTTAACCGATGTCCTCCAATACATTTAATTTAAAAATACATTAAAAATAGCCAAAAAACTATAAAGTTTAAAAAAAAGTGTGGAAAGCTAGAAATAGATTGTTGAAATCTTTGCTTAAAAGGAAGGATCTTATTAGGGATTTATCAGATATATTGAGATAACTTAAATTTCATCCTTTTTAGATGTAGAGTTATACAAAATTCTTTATACAATTAATTCAACTGTACATAATGAATTCAAAATGTCTAGTCATGTATCTACCACCACAATCAAGATATAAAACATTTCCATAATGCCAAAAGTTCCTTCCTCTTTATAATAATCATCTCCATCTACCGTAACCAAGCCATGGCACTCTATAGTTTTGCCTTTTCCAGAATATCATATAAACTAAATCATGCAATATGTAGCTTTTTAAGTCTGGCTTTTTTATTGAATAAAATAAATTTGAGTTTCATCCATGTTGTTACATGTTCATTCCATTTTATTGCTGAGTAGTATTTCATTGTGTAGATATACCATGGTTTGTTTGTTCCTGTATCATTGGTAGGCACTTGGGTTGTTTTCAGTTTGGGCAGTTATGAATAAAGCTGCTGTAATTATATGCATACAGATTTTGGTGTGGATATACATTTTTATTTCTCATGTGTAGACACCTAATAGTGTATTACAGAGTCATGTGATAGATATATGTTTAATTTATAAGAAACTACCAAATTGTTTTACAGAGAAACTATTTTGCATTTCCACCAGAAATATATGTTTGAGTTGTTCTGCATTGTTTTCATAACTATACTATCTGTTTGATTTTAGCCATTTTAAAATGTGTGCTTTTTTTTTCCATTTTATTAATGGCTATGAATTTGAGTATCTTTTCATATGCTTATTTGTCATTCATATCTCTTCTTTGAGAAACTTTAAATCTTTTCCTATTTTTTAATTAGATTGTTTTCCTTCTATTGAGATAGTTCTTTATTTATTCTGGGTATCAGTCCTTTATCAGATACATGTTTTACAAATATTCTCTTTCAGCCTGTGGGTTCTCTTTTCATTTTATTATAGTGTTTTTTGAAAAGCAGAAGTTTAAAATTTTAACAAAGTTAAATTTATCAATTTTTCTTTCTGTGGTTTGTGGGTGGTTCTTTGTATTATTTTGTTTTTGCTAAGTGGTTTGTGTTTTTTTAACCTAAGGTCACATAGGTTAACCTAAGCTTTTCTCCTATGTTTTCTTCTAAAAGTTTTATAGCTTAGTGAATTCCTTTTTGTATGCCATGCAAAATATAGATTAGGTGTACATGACTATATATTTTGAATTCATTATGTACAATTTTGTACTTTCGTGAGTTCATTTTTTTGTACCTTGCAAAGTATAAATCAAGGTTAATTTTGTGTGTGTATATGAATATCCAGTAATCTACCAATAGTTGAAAAGACAGTTCCTCTCTCATTCTTTTTTTTTTTTGGGGGTGTCTTTGTCAACAATTTATTGACCCTATATATATGTGTAGGGTGATTTCTGAACTCACGATTGTCTTCCATTGGTTTTTATTCTTTTGCTAGTATCATCCTATTTTGATTACTCTAGCTTTATAGTTAGTCTTGAAATCAGTTTTGACAAGAGCTCAGAATTACAATATTCCGAGTTCTTCCATGTTTTGAATTTTTTCCGTAGCCTTCATACTTGAAGCTGGGATGGATATAAAATTCTAGGCTCTTACTTTCTTCAATGATCTCTTACTTTGTATCTTATTGTTGAGAAATATGCCAGCTTAATTTTCTTACTCTTATAAGCAGTCTGGTCTTTTTGCCTTGAAGCCCTATATATTTTTTCTGCTGTATATTTTTTCATTTGTAATCTAATAGTTTTACAAAGTTATGTCTCAGGGTTGATAGTCAGTTTTCCCAGGTACACCATGAGCCCACTTTGATACATAGATTCAGATTTTCTTCTATTTATTTATTCCCTTCTTTGGAAGAGGGGGAGAGGAATTCTTAGATATTAAATTTCTAATTCAAGGTGGAGTTTTTTGTATTTGTTTTTCCACATTGCCATGTATTTGTTAAGGATATACAATTCACTCAAATTTCCTTTGCCTTATGATTAGTTTGCGGGAGAAATTTTCAATAGCTGAAATGTTTTGCTTCTAATTTTCTGTTTTCCTTCTTACATTGGTTTTGTATGTTAAACCAATTTTTCTGCTTTATTTTTTGGACAGGGCAAGGGTTTGGGGTGCTTTTTAGATTTCTACTTCTAGAATGCCTCTTTGGATACTAAAAAGGATTTTCTTTAATGGGTAATTTTGGGTTTTTTGGCGGGGAGGATATATGTGTTGGGGTGTCTTGTGGATCTCTGATTTCTGCCAAACCCTTAACTTTCCTCACTTGCTTCCTTTAGCCTTCTCTGCCAAACAATGTTTCCCCTTTCTATTTATATCATTCTCTCCTAGAGAAGTTCTTTCACCATAGCCATTCCTGGGATCTGCCATATTTCATACACGTTCAGTAATTTTTCACTTCGTGTGAGACCTTTTGTTTCTCGAGATGATTTTGACTGTGGTTTGTTGCCATTAAGCCTTTCTTTTGTCATACACTTCCTGCTCTATGCAGGTTTACAGCAATATGAAGTCCAGAAATAGTTCTGTTGAAGTTTGGTATTTATTTTTCTATTTACAGGTAATTTTAAGTTCATAATATTCTCAGCTTCCTAGTAATACTGAAAACCTGCCACTGGTTTATTTTTCTTCTGGGTATGTGTCCTCTCAAGATTATGTGGGGAAGTTCAGATTTAGGCCATTGTCATTGTCCTGGGGCTTCTGTTAACATTCTCATTGTTTTTAATATTATCATTACCACCAATATCTGCATTTGAAAGGGTACAGCTTAAATGAAATCATAATCTGAATTGAGTTTAGTGCTAAATAGTTGAAAAATGAGATATAGAAAATTGAAATGGAGTGAGTGGAATAGTGAGTAGATAGTAAACTCTTTTTGTATCACTGATGTCTTTGAGAATGTAATAAAAGCCTTTCCTCTTCTCCCCCTAAATGCACAAGTACTGTTATTTTACATAAGATATCAAAAGATTAATTGAACCCTACTTGACTCTTAAGGTGAAGATGAAGGTTACTAATGTTGAAAGAACAGGAAGAGAAAGAGAAGACAGATCTTATGAAGAGATCTCTGTCACAAATAAGAAAATGTTCTAAAACAATAGCTCTAAAATCAGTTCTTCGATATTTCCTTAAAAATACTAATAAACTTTATTTTAAGAAACATTTCAGTTTTTATGTGTCATAAGAACTTTGTGGTGATTAGCTCTTACATTAGATTAGTAAGTGAAAGTGCTATTATGTGCTTAATTTTTTTTCTAAACTTCCTTTTTTAACTATATTGCTTCATTACTTTTCACATTTTTACTTTTTATTTACCACTTTGAGCACAGTTTGTTTCCATTTATCTAGGTTCAAGATTTTTCCAGTTTTCATCAATTTTTTTTTTATTCTTGTAAATATTGACATTTATCACAACTGTTTTTAACAAAAATTATAAAGTGGTGCCTTAGTGTAACATAAACAGTCAAAAAGTAAAAACGATAGGTTCTGGTAAAAACATATTGCTTAGGGTCTTTTATTGTGAGATTGGAGCTTTTTTAGGACTTAAAAAATATTTAGTAGGGTAATTGAGTAACTTTTTTGAATTAAACTATAATTCTCACATTAAAGCATTGAAATTTTGAGTATTCTAAGTAAATATCGTTAATGTTATTGTCTCCTGGCTTACATTTCAGCCTGAAGTCAATGCTGACATTGTGCATTGGCTCTCTTGGACTGCTCAAGGCTTTTTACCCCCACTCGCTGCAGCAGTAGGAGGTGTCGCCAGCCAAGAAGTATTGAAAGCTGTGACAGAAAAGTTTTCACCTTTGTGCCAGTGGGTTAGTTCTGTATTTTAATATGTTTTATACTTAAGGTTGAATTATCCCCTCATACCATAAATGTCAGTTATGAATTGTAATATCAATATAAAAGCAACCTTAAAATATTTTTTTGAGGTATGAGAGAGATGTGATATGCCACCAAATCTTAATTCTGTAATTGAAACTGATATGTTGAGGCTATTGGACTGTAACCCAAAGTTTGATTCTAGGATGTATCATTCTAGGATGTTTCCTTCATTCGTGAGTGTAAGGGAATGGATTTTTTTTTTCCTTATACTTAGTCTCCTATATTGTTAGTTTAGCATTTATTACCTCTCAGGACTCTTGAACTTGTTCCATGGAATCTTTGGCATCATGAATATTCAGAGCCCCTTCCTAGGTATAAACTTCCGAAGGTAGAAAGCATGGAAATAGTAGATTTGAGAACCAAATTGAGCAAAAACATCACAAGATGGAATAAAAACCCTCATTTCTGATACCAGATGGAATAATTGGCAAAGGATATCCAAAGATACTCTCAGGCCTTTTCTTTTTTTGAACTTTAAACTTTGTAATGTAACGTTTACCTTTTTGTGTGTTTTAAGATGTACTGACATAATGCTATTTTGCTGCTGAGTATTTCGGTTTATTTTAACACAGAGTACAAATTCATCTTGAAAAGTGTGAATTAGATACAGCTGTTAACAGCATGGGAAATAACAAATTATGTCATTAATATAGATTCTCTATTAAATAATAAATAATAACCATTTGGTCATGTTCAAGAAGCTTAAATGAAAATGGGAGACATAGTTCTTTTTCTCATTAACTTAAACTAATTCTGTTTGGTATTTTTAAAAATGCTGAAATTATGGCTTCCTAGATCATTTCCTATGTAGTATATGTAATTAAAGTGACATGTAATATATCCAAGCTGGAAAATTAATATGGACTAGGTACTCTTATCAAAGAGTAACCAAATTACTGTGGGAGTGCAAAAAACAAAAAGTAATTTTTCCCACCTTCTAAGTTGTTCTAGCTGGTCAAATAGATTAACAGGAGAAAATGTCCAAAATTTATTATGAAAGTACATATGGCGGTGCCGTAAGAATATGAGACCCTGAGGAAACATTGGACAGTTGAGACTTGTATGCCATCTGGACAAAGGAGAGAGACACATGGGTCTGGGATTTCTAAGAAAAAGCAGGCAGTTTACAGATAGATGATAAAGTGAATATGTGGTAAACAGATTCTTGCTAGGCCACCCAGAAACAATTGGACACAGAGGGAAGTTCAACAAACAGGCTTTGCTGTATTTCTTCCTATCTGCATCATTTAGTTTATATTATAATGCTTAAGGTCATGATCCCTTCCTTTAAGCATGTTTTCATATCTGAATCCTCCAAGGAGGTAAGGGGAAAGGATCAAAGGTTCTTCCTGAGTCTTGCTTAAAATCAATATCTCAAAAGACAGAATTTGGTTCCCTTCATTATATATTCAAGTGTAGCTAAAATTGAATGGGACTTACAGAGTTTTTATGTAGTTATAAAAAATAGATTTGGAGGTGAAATTTCCTTTTGTTTGTTAAGAGTATGTCATCTTTAAGATGGGTAAGTGACATGAATAAAATTATATCTTATAACAAATCTTTAAGGTTTAACAATTGTTTTAACGAAAGAATACAGGAATGTATATTGTGTAAAAAATAGGTGTGTTTTTTTTAATCTGTTATTTTACTCTGAAATGGTATTTTTATCATTTTTTTAAATTATTAAATAACTGCAAATAGAACTCGTTTTTCTAACAATTTAAGTTTCATACATAAGTTATGTTTTTATCTTCTACTTTAAGTTATACATTGAAGCAGCGGATATTGTCGAATCCTTAGGCAAACCTGAACGTGAAGAATTTCTCCCACGGTAATACTGAAATTTCTATTACATTTTTCTTATTTGTGTGTTTATAAGAAGCAACTGGATTAAAATTTTTTGTTTAATCATGCATTTGTTTTAAATGTCTTTTCTCCTAACTCATTTACTTCTTATTTCTTCTCTAGAGGTTACATGTCATAATGCCATGCCTTTTTGCCACTTTATAAATAATCAATATAAAGTTTAAATTGTACATTTTCATGAGAATATTTATCATTCAAAATACCATTCTGATGTTAAATGAAAATAGTTGCTATCTTCCACTTTTATATCTGTGTTTTACCTTTTTGAGCCACAAATAAATCTCTTTGAGAATCTGATAAAAGCTTATGGATTAATTCTTCCCAAAATATACACCACCCAAAGTTCTGCCTTCAATTTAAAAAACATTAAATTTGTGTAAATAATGAAACTAATCTTAATAATCTTTATAATGCCTCTGTTTTCATGGTACGTGTTATTTTCTTCAGTGGAGATAGATATGATGCCTTACGAGCCTGCATTGGAGACACCTTGTGTCAGAAGCTACAAAATTTGAATATCTTCTTAGTAAGTGTGAATAATGATGAGAATAAATAGAACATTCAAACTGTTGTTGTGTATAATGAATTTATTAAAGCAAATTTGAGTCTAAGTGAGTACAGTTCCTAACATAGTAGACATTTAGTAGATGTGTAAAACAGGAGTTTGCAAACTTTGGCCTACAGACCAAATCCATTTTGGTGCTAGTTTTTGTAAAGTTTTTTTGGAACACAACCAAGCCCATTCATTTATGTACTGTCAATGGCTTCTTTTATGCTTGCTATATAAGTGGATCGAGTGGTTCTTTTATGCTATAAAAGTGGATTAAGTGGTTGTGACAAAGACCATATGGCCTGCAAAACTGAAAATATTAACTGGTCTTTTACAGAAAAAGTTTGCCAACTCCTGATCTAAAGAATTAATACATTTAATATGGTAGTTTTGAACATTAAAACATTAAAAGATTTTCTAGCAATACATTAGAAATTGGTAGGTTTTTTTAACTGTTATTTTTTTCTCATCAAATAAAGGAATATGTAGGTGGAATCTGTCTTTCTTAAATATTCAAGGAATCTTTGTCATTAAAATGTTGCACTGATGTTTTGTGCTGTTTCTAAAAAAATGAACTCAGTGCTTGGCTTTTGTTTGGAATTTTAAAATGTCTTCTGTTTGAAGGAAATATAAATATTGAGCTTTTTAAAATTTGGTTTATACGTTCTTTAACTGAGACACTTAAAATGTCATCATAAACCAGTTAAATAAATAAATTGCAAATGTTCAAAGTATTTTAAAAAGTATATATTTACAATTGTAACATAGCATTTAACAAAAATTGAGATGAAATTGCTGTAAATAAGTAGAAGTTCTGATTTTATTTAATCTGATATATTTTTCTCCCCCATAGGTAGGATGTGGAGCCATAGGCTGTGAAATGTTAAAAAATTTTGCTTTACTTGGTGTTGCCACAAGCAAAGAGAAGGGAGTGGTAAGATATGAATCTTTTAAAGTTAAAAGTTTGAATTTCCTCTGCTTTCCATTTTTGAACTATATTTTACTGCATAGATTTGAAATACTGCTTTCGAGGATAGATCATTAAGCTAGAAATTGGAAGATTCTGATTCTATTCTGACCACTTCTTTTTTTTACCAGCTGATTCAAACATGTTTATTGAGCTAATCACCTTATGGCAAATTACTTCTCTGCTCCTAAATTTCTTTCTCTGATACTGCAAAACCGCTGTCTTTACTACCAACCTCATACTATTGTTAAGATTAAATGTGAAAGGGCTTTGCAAACTATAAAACACATTAATAGTGTTATTTGTTAGATACTACGTATTAACTTAAATCTTTAAGATGGGAGAAGCTACCATTAGAAAGTTGAAGAATACTCAGATAAGCAGAACATGGGATTAGGGAGGAGGGAGATAGATGGGGTAAAAGGGGTCAAATATATGGTGACAGAAAGAAATCTAACTATGGGAGAGGATCACACAATGCAATATACATATATGCTTTACTGTTAAATCGTACACCCAAAACTTACTGGATTTTGTTCACCAATGTCACCAAAATAAATTGATCAAAAATAAATAAATAAAAAGAATACTCAGATTAAAAAAAGGAATAATATAAACTTGGGTGTACAATTTACATTCTTAAGACTATAAATCTGAGTTAATTGGGAGGCCATGTCACATATTTAAATAAAAATATATTTAAGATGTAAACTAGCTGTAAGACCCAAAACCATCAAAGTTCTAGGAAAAAAACAAACTTAGGCTGGAAACTCAGATATTGCTCTTCGTAATTTCTTTTGTGATATATCTCCTGGGACAAGAGAAACGAAAGAAAAAAACAAATGGGACTACATCAAACTAAAAAGGTTTTGCACAGCAAAGCAAATGATTAACAAAACAAAAAGACAGTCTACTGAATGGAGAAGATATTTGCCTATGATACATCAGATAAGGGGTTAAAATTTATAAAGAGCTCATAAAACTCAACAACAACAAAACAATCCAACTAAAACATGGGCAGAAGACCTGAATAGATATTTCTCCAAAGAGGAAATACAATATACATATGAAAAGATGCTCAAGGTCACTAATCATTAGAGAAATGCAAATTAAAACCACAATTAGGTATCACTTCACACCTGTCAGAGTGGCTATCATCAGTAAATCAAAAACAAATGTTGGTGAGGATGTGGAGAAAAGAGAACTCTCATATACTATTAGTGGGATTGCAAAATGGTATAGCCATTATGGAAAACAGTCTGGAGGTTCCTCAAGAAATTAAAAATGGAACTACCTTTTGACCTAGGAATTGCACTTCTGGGTATTTATCCAAAGTAAACCAAAACACTAATTCGTAAAGGTCTGTGCACCTCTATGTTCATGGCAGCCTTACTCACAATAGCCAATATATGGAAGCAACCTAAATGCCCATCAGCAGACGATTGGTTAAAGAAGTTACGGATATATATACAATGAAATATTAGCCATAAAAAATGAAATCCTGTCATTTTCAGCGACATAGATGGACCTAGAGGTTATTATGCTTAGTCAAATAAGTCAAAGAAAGATAAATACCATATGATTTCACTTATCTAAAGAACAAAAGGAACAAACTAAATGTAATAAATTCACAGATACAGAGGACAGTCTGGTAACTGCTAGAGGGGAGGTACAATCTGGTAACTGCCAGAGGGGAGAGAGTTTCAGAGATTGAGAGAAAAAGGTGAAAGGATAAAGCACAGATTAGTAATTACAAAATAGCCATGGAGATGGTAGAGTACAACATAGGGAATATACTCAATAGTGTTGTAATGACTGTATGTAGAGCCAGTTGGGTGATAGAGTAATTGGAAGATCACTTCGTAAACTATATAAATGTCTAACGAACATACTGTATACTTGAAACAAATAATAATAACAATAATATGTTAATAACTGTATAGTGACAGGTGCGTACTAGACTAGTCTGGGGAATCACTTCATAAGTTATATAAATGTCTAGCCACTGCTCTCCATACCAGAAAACAATATAAAATAATATTGAATGTCAGCTGTAACTGAAAAATCAAAAAAGGTGGCAGAGAAAGAGTGAAAGGAAATAAGAGGTTCAAACTTGCAGGTATAAAACAAATAAGTCATGAGAATGTGGTATACATCATAGAGAATGTAGTTAGTAATATCGTGATAGCATTGTATGGTGTCAGATGGTTGCTGGACTTGTCATGGTGATCACTTCTTTAGGTATATAAATGTTGAGTAACTATGGTGTACACCTGAAACTGATATAATATTGTATGTTAGCTATATTTTAATAAAAAGTTTTTTAAAAGGATGTAAACTAGCTTCCTAGAGTAATGATTTCATAGATGTATCGTGGTGACTATAAATAATTAAATGACAAACTTACATGATAGTTCACATTTTATAGTTAATTAAATTGACTTATATTACATAAAGTGCATATTAATTACTATCAAATTATGAGCAGGTGTTCTACATTTATATTATTCCTACTCAGCACTTCTTAATTGTGTCCCACAAACTGCTATTAATTCTGGTGATTTTAAAAGATATTTCTTAGAAAAAAATTGTCAGTTACATAAGTTTAGGAATTACCTGAACACTTTAATTTCTTGGAAATTCACAACACATATTAGCATATAAAGACCAGGAAAAGAACTATAGTAAACAACTACTTGCCTTCAGATAACAAAACAAGGTAAGTTAATGTGGACAGATTTTTATCCTATTGCAAACACATACATTTGCTATGTTAAGTTTTTTAAGTGTTTACATATATAGCGAAACTAACTGCAAAGAAGAGAAGAGAAATCCCCAGGTTCCAGAAACCAAAAGATAAATTAATTCCTGAGTTAAAAGCCATGGCGACTCATAAGCACTTGTATCTTGAATATATGCCTAAAACATTAAATAGAAAGAGAAGCCACTTGTGAGGAATTAAAACTCAGAGCATGCACCACACTGGTGTACGGGGTCCAAAATTATATAAAAATTTCAAGCATAGAAATGAATATAGCAAATTTAGAACCATTGAAACCTCCAGAGCTCTGACTAAAACAAATATAAAACTGCCTAAGGGTACACACCCAGAGTACACAGGACTGTGCAGAAAATTAACATCCATTCAAGACAAATTCACAATAAAAAACGATGATCCACTAGAAAAAAATAATGCCAAGGAAAAATGAAAAAGAATCAGCCAAGGAAAATTGAAGTTTGCTCTCTAAGAACTATAGATAATAGGAGTGCTACAGATAATAGAATAAACTAACTTTAAAGTTAGAAATGGCCATAGAGATGGAAAGAGAAATAGAGACATGAGGGGGAAAGGTACTGAAATTTTTATAAAAAAACCACATAAGAACTTATGTTTAGTGAGTGAGCTTAAAATTCAGATATAGCTGAAGTGAAAATTTATGAATAGAAGATAAATATCAGTATCCAGAATGTATATATAGGAAGATATATTTTTAATGAAAGAAGATGAATTTACATGATCCAATGTATGTGTAGTAGAATTACCAGGGAGAATAAAGATAATGGAGAGGAAGCAAAACATTCCAGAGATAACAAGTTTACAGAGTCAAAGCAATAAAAGTGTTTAGGTTGAAAAGGCAAAGATTAGAAGAGAGATTACCTAATAGACTCTGAGCAATAAGAAATGCACACCTGAATATAGCAAAGCAAATCTTCATAGTGTAAAGGGCAATAATATATCAACCCAGATTTCAATACTCAGCTAAATTATCTTACAAGACAAAGATATCTGACAAGTAAATGATGAAAGGTTACCACTTACTAGTTCTCAATGAAAGATCTATTAGGTAACATGACCGATGAATGCAAGCAAGAGTGAGTAGAGGCATTTGCCAACATTCTTAGACTGATTTTTAAAACCTTTAATTAAAATACTGTCTGATTTGGGAGTGAATTGCCTAAAAATAAGAAAAATGTTCCTTGATAACATGGAAAATAGAAAGGAAAGTTCAGATATCCTCTAATTGTTCAGAAGGAAAATACTTCAATTAATTTTAGATCTTAAGCACATTCTCGTGTTAAAATTTTGAATATAATTACTTAAAAATAGATGTTTAACTTCCAAACCAGTTCAGGTGAGTGTGGGTGGGGAGGGGCAGGGGGTGGTGGGGAATTAGAATAAAAAAAACTTGATCAATCCAGTAGTAGACTAAAAAGAATATGGTGGGGGGTGGAGATAAAAAGTCGGGTTGGGGTAGGTGGGAAAAAAAACCTTATATTAGTAATCACAATAATTATATATTTTTTGTTAAATGATATTTTCTGTTGGGCTTTTTTCTATTTAGAAAAGACATTCTCTAGGGTAAGAGAGGGAAAAAAGACATCCTCTAGCACATAATTACATAGAAAGAAAACAGAAGAAACAGTTATATGAGGGAAATACCAGCTAAAAGAAAGGGAATGTGTGTATGAGCACCAATCAACATCTAACAACTGGAACACACTGAGATATACCGCATCTAGTCACATCTTATATACAAATACTAGTTTAAGTAACAAATGTATTATGAATACTTTTCACATTATCTTACTTCTGTTTACTGTCATCTTGTATCATTTAGAATGATGTCTAAGAACTTTTCCTTAAAGGACCAGATTGCAAGAATTTTAATCTTGGAGTCCATAAATCTGTCACAACTACTCAGCTCTGCCATTGTGACATGAAAGCAGCCATAGATAGTACTTTAAAAACAAGTGTGACAGTGTTTCAGTAAAATTTTGTTTACAGAAACAGCCTGCCTGCACTGTAGTTTGTAGACTTCTGCTTTAGCAAGAGTTCATTTCACATGGAAACATGCGAGCCTTCTTTCCAAATAGTTGAAATTGGGAATAAATATAAGTAAAGGAAGAAGAGCTAACTCCTCTACAGCTAGTCTGTTACATGTTTCTAAAATGTGATAGTAATGTTTTAGCCTCTATTTGTTATAAATAGAAAAAAAGTTTTAAGCAGGAATTGCAGTTGGTTTCAACTGTTTCGTTTAACATGTTCCTATGTTAAACATTAATTATAATTAAGTATAAAAAGAATAGTATTGGTAATCATTTTGGAATATTTTAATTCACATAACTTTTATCAGTCAAAATAATTTAGAATAAATTGCAGAAGTTGTTTTAGTCATCCTGAGAAAACCATTTTCTTTTCTTGATATTAGGTTACAGTTACAGATCCTGACTTGATCGAAAAATCCAACTTGAATAGACAGTTCTTATTTCGTCCTCATCATATACAGGTGTGTTGCTATTCTGTTTCAAATTTAAATCATCTGGTGTATTATATAAAAACAGTTTCCTTTTTATAAATAGAAAATGATGCTTGAAAAGCATAATATACTTATTTAATAGAATTTCTCAATTATCAAATAATGGGAATGATAGGGGAAATAGTAATTATTTTTAATGTACGATATGGTTTTTGCACGATTTTTGGATATTAAAAATAATTTTATGCTCTTTTGATCTTGTTTGACTATTAACTTCCCTTTTTATTGTAAAATAATGCTTGCTTTCGGTCTTTTTTATAGAGATCAAAATAAGTCAGAAAAAGAAGTAGTTTGGTCGGTCAAGCAAATTTGCTTTTACTTTTGTTTTTTCACTTTATTTTTCAACAGCTCTTACATAATCATAATTAAGCTTAAGAATGTCGTGAGCAGAAAAGTAATTAAAGCAGGTGGCATAGTTAACCTAATAGCCTCACCTTTCCAAATATAAAGAACTAAGTAATGGGGTTTCTTATGAACTAAAATATATGTCACAAAATGTACTTACTTTGTTCCTTTTACTTATAGAAGAAGTATAAGATCTGTTTATTCTTATTTTACTGAGGTTCTAACAAAGTTTCTGCTTTGTATGTACACTAACAGCACTGAGAACTAAAAATGTGCCAGCTTAACAATGTGAGAAAATACAGAAATACCATTAAGAGGCGATGCATGTGTTCAAACAGAATGGTCTATAGATATTAAGCATCTGAGCCAGTACTCTCAAATGAACCCTGATGACACTTGAACTGACACTAATGAGTATAATTTATTCTTCTAAGAAAAGAAAGGATGAATTATAGTTAGGGTACTCTTTTTTTTATATATAAAACTGAAACATATATAATAATTTAAAAAACATGTACAATAATTTTCATCCAGAAATAGTAATGTTTTTTAAAGATTTTTTTTCCCATATTAGATATTCATACCTGCGAGAGCTCATTTTCTGTGGAGTTTGAATTTCTAATATTTTACTGAATGTGTTCTTGTCTTTTTCTAGGCACATACCCAGTTCAAACCTCACAACTAGGGGAAAAAATGTACTTTTAATTAGACTTTTAACTGATATTTTAAGAACTCTAAAGCACTTAGCTATAAAAGAGGTTTTTAAAGATTTTTATTAATTTGTAAATTATTTAGACTAATATGCATACTAAATGTAGTATGAATGTAATTTCCACAAACCAAAAATAAAAATTGGTCTCATTACTGTCATCTCATATATATATATATATATATTTCAGAGTAATAAGAAGATGTCAGTTCAAACTTATTTCTTCTGTTTTTGTTATTTGTTTAGAAACCTAAAAGCTATACTGCTGCTGATGCAACCCTGAAAATAAATCCTCAAATAAAGATAGATGCACACTTGAACAAAGTATGTCCAGCCACTGAGGCTATTTACAATGATGAGTTCTTTACTAAACAAGATATGATTATTACAGCATTAGATAATGTGGAAGCCAGGAGATACGTAGACAGGTATGTTCTTGAAATTCAGGTTCATAAAGAATTGTGTATCTTTTGTTTTCATTTTTATTTTCCATACCTATTTGTTGAACAGTTATTATTCTTTATGTTCCTATTGTAATACTCCTCAAACTCTATGATGATTTCCCATTATACCTAGGCTAAAATTCAAAATCTCTAAAATGTCCTAAATGTCTTACATAGAGTCTCTACCCCTTTTCTACCACTCCAGCTTAAAACTTACCTATTTCTTTCTGGCTCCCCTTATTCCAGCTACACGTTTCTTTTTTCAGTTCTTACAGGGTATTCAGCATTTTTTTACCGGTGACTTGCATATACTCTCCTTCAGCCCCAGGAAATTATGTTTATCTTGTTTTAAAACTCCTGACCTCAGATACTCTTCACCTACTTTAATTTTTTTCCTCATCCTTTAGTTGCATCCTAAATGTCTTTCTTTGAACAGGCTTTCTTTAACCCCCAAATTCTAAATTAGAATCTCTTATGGTAATCTTTTACAGCATCTAAGATTTTTCCTTCATAGCACTTATTTTTTATTAATATACATATTTATTTATATAATGTTTGTTTCCTCATAAAATCATTACTTAAGGACTATTTATTTTCCCATCGCACTGCCCAACACATGATGTAATTCGGTAAATATTTGTTAAATAAGTAGATGAATCAATGACTATAATGTATACACCTTACATAATTTTTCTTAAGTCTTTATTTATTTCTAAAGTTAGTATGCTAGAGCAGATATGTTAACAGGGAAAGATTGACCAGTTGAGAGTGTAGTGGAAAGTTCGTAATCTTGAGCAGAGGAAGGAAAAAAAATTAACCAAGAAGTTAAAGTATGTATAACATAGGTATTTAAGTATTGAGAAAGTATATTGTTTGGGATAAAGAAAACATTGAGAAGATATAGTGGGATGGAACTTGTAACCAGAAAATAACTGAAGAAGAATAGGAGGCAAGAGAAGGAGAACATAATTGAGAGTTAACCTAGCGGAAAACAAGTTGAAGCCCCAAATTTGGTCATTATAGTAGAAGGTAGAGACACAAATTACTAGATTAAACAACAGAGTTTGTTAGGGGAAGGAGGCAGAAATAAATGTATTGTTTGATGGTAATTTATCTAAAATATTACAATCAAGATGTAATGAAATGGTTAATAGAAAGTGATAGGATTTCCTCTGCTTGGATTGTTATTGCTCACTTTTATGTGTATTAATTATTCAAATAGCCGTTGTTTAGCAAATCTACGGCCCCTCCTGGATTCTGGAACAATGGGCACTAAGGGACACACTGAAGTTATTGTACCTCATTTGACTGAATCCTATAATAGTCATGTAAGTGAACCAGTATTTTGAAGTACATGTCTCTCTTCTGTCTCATAATTTTTTTGTCTTCATTGGTCAACAGATTTAATTTAGCTTTTCTAATCTTTCTGTTTTAGTGTTATTCTTATGTTTACTGTTTTTTCTCAGAGCTGTTTGATTAATTTTCTAACAACCTCTCAACTGATGACTCATCCCAAAGCTTACTAAAGAATCAATTTCTCCATAGGAGGGATCAAGCCACCTATATACTACTGTATATAAAAGATACAGATATAACTTTTTTTAACCCCCACAAGTACTTTTGAGATACTGCCAAGGTTGAAACCACTAAACTATGAAATAATTATAGGCCTTAGAATTTAGAAAAAGAGCCACCCAAGTTGTAAAATTGAAAGTAGTATATATTTTTTTACAAATGTAAATATCCCTTTATTTCTGGAAATTTGTTGTTTAGGAAAATTTCAAAATTTTTATAAAATTTGTTTTCTCATTTACTCATGCAGTCACAAGTTTATGTAATAAAAAAATTATAGTAGACAAAATTGGTGAGTTTAATTTGGAGTTAATTAGATGAAATCATGATATTCATGACATACTGGGTGTCATATTGGAAAATTTTCGAAGAAAGGATTGTTATCACATTCCAAAAGTTCCCTTGATTCTCTCATTCTACATCTTTCCCAAACCTTCTCTTATATTCTCTGACTTTATACTTAAAAAACAGAATTTAATATCCTTCTGGCTTTTCTCTTTGGCTTTTATTTTGTGGTATTTCTTAGATAACAAACTAACACATATATAAATAAAAAGAGGTAAAAATGAGTCATTTTAGATAGGTTAAAATAATAAGCCTAAGCCAGATATACCCCCACAACATATATAGATTTCTTCATGGTACTTTTTTACATGAGACAATACAGGCATTTGCCATTTATTTAATACACACTTTCTACAAAAAAAAAAAATCAAGCATCAAGGACATACTCATGTTCCCCAATTTTTTTCTCTATGGAGAAACTCCTGGTATGCTGAGCACTATATTGGGGATTCTTAAATTACTTTTCAAAGTAGAAAGTGTTATGAAGTTTTAAATGTAACCTTGATACTTGGAGGAAAAGAAATGAATTATATATATGGTGGTCTGCCTTGAGTACTCATATGCCAAATGAATGTACAGATAAGTAGTAATAGAATTCATGTTTGTTGTTACTATTAACATATATGTTAAACATCAAAAGAATCAATTTTTCCTCTTAGGCCCTAGGAGAGAGAAGATATAAAAATGTTCTGATTTATTTTATTTTTGAATCTTATTTTTTAATGGTCTTAAAACACTCAAGTAAATTCAGTAAATAAAAATCTCTTAACTGTCTCTGTCATATATTATAAATTAGCGGGATCCCCCAGAAGAGGAAATACCATTTTGTACTCTAAAATCCTTTCCAGCTGCTATTGAACATACTATACAGTGGGCAAGAGATAAGGTAATAAAGATCTTTTTTCAAGACATTTTTTGTAGTAGGAAAGAAAATACTTCTAACTTTTAAAAACACTTTGATTTGTAACTTTTTCCCTTCTTTTTCCTTTACAGTTTGAAAGTTCTTTTTCCCACAAGCCTTCATTGTTTAACAAATTTTGGCAAACCTATTCATCTGCAGAAGAAGTCTTACAGGTAGAAATCAATACGTTTTAATACAAACTTAACACTGTAATTTTATTTTCAAGTTGCCTACGAATGGTTTGTTTTACCTCCTCAAAAAGATATTATAACATTATTTTTCATAGTACATACATGAGTAATTCTGAAATTAATAGCTCACAAATGACCCCTTTTTTTTAGTTTGATTGAATGACATGGAATTGTCATTATTTGACCACGCTTGACCCACAAAACAGCAATTCGTATGGTTCAACCTAATAAGGATGTTATAATGATAGGAGAGCTCCGAATAATAAAACTGCTTGTTAAGCTGAGTTCTAGTAAAATGTTCATGAGTGGGCAGTAATATCTCAAACTTATTATTCTCATGGTGAGGGCACTTCAAAGATGTTTTCTCACTTTCCTTTAATCCTGTACTAAAAATGCCAACTTTTTTGTATAAAATATTATTCTTAGTACTTCTTTTAGAAAGTACATATATAATAATAATGTATAGCCAGCAAGACAAAAGGATAACTTGCGAGACAAGAAACTTTAAAGTTTTATGTGGTATCTTTTCCCATTTCCCCTTGAAAAAGAAACAGGGAAAGGAGAAAGGCAGGGACAAGGAGCTTGAAGTGAAAAAAATAAAATAATACACATGATATGGCATTTCAAACTTTGGCTGATACTTCCTGGGAAGATGTATGTGTGCATTTAATTGGAAATTTGTTTTTTTGTGTGTTTTTCTCTCATCATAGAAAATACAAACTGGACACAGTTTAGAAGGCTGTTTTCAAGTTATTAAGTTACTTAGCAGAAGACCTAGAAATTGGTCCCAGTGTGTAGAATTAGCAAGATTAAAGTTTGAAAAATATTTTAACCATAAGGTAAGTTTGCATTATAAAGCATTAAGAAAAGGTCTGACCTTGGCTCATTTAATTACTACCAGATTAATTTCATTGACCTGAAATGTCTACTCTTTCTTTTGGGAAGCTTTTTAGAAATAAGTAGTAAATTAAGTGAGAACAAGTGCCGGGCACATAAGTAATTTCTCTTTGAATGTTACTGATTCAAGAATGCATTTAAACTTTACCCATTGGCTTGATAATTGTGCATTTAACTGATCCTTGTCTTTCTGTGTGCAAAATTGGGTTTTACATAGAGGTTCCTTCCAGAGAATAATACTTTTCATCAGTAGTCTAAAAATAGTTTGTTTTTCAGAGTAAAGCAAGAGACTGAGAAAGTAGAGATATTCAGTCAGATTTTGTTGGAATTTTGCCTTCCCCACCCACATCTGGTAATCACATTTTCTTCATTTGTAAAATGGGTATAATAAACTGGTACCTAATTCAGAAGATGGTGATGAAGATCAAATGAGTTTATATATGTAAAGCCTTTAGAACAGAACCTGGCCCATAAATGCTCACTAAATATAGCTGTTATTCTTACCTCCAGTTACTTACAGTTGCTAGAATGTGTCCTGCACTCTCTTTTTAGTCTCTCCCTCTCTTTAGGCTTTTACTAAAACTATTTGAATATAAAATAAGTTTATCTTTTTAAAAACATTTTTTGATTACACTTATCCCTGCTTTTCACTTCATTCTTGGCTCTGCTTGAAAAAATGGTCTGTACTCTCACCCATGCCAATTCCTCACCCAGTAAATGTGTCTTGGTTTTCCACTGCTCTTCAAATTATTCTTACTGTAATTATCATTGACCTCTGGTTTCAAAATCTTAATTCTTTTTAATCCTTATCTTCTGTAGATTTTTTAAAACTTTTTATTATGGAAAGAATTCAACAAAAGAAATGTAGAGAAAATAATATAATGAAACCCCATGTAATCCTCATGTATCTATCACTCAAGTTTAACAGTTATCAACTTGTGGATATGTTGTTTTCATCTATATACTCTTCCCCTGTTGGTTTTGAAGCAAATTTCAAACATTTTAAAATATAATATGTATTTTTATTGGTTTAATTTTTGTTTTAAGGATTGGCTCTTTGAAGGGTATAGAATGATATGTAAAATATGTCATTTCTGTAAAAAGGGATGAAATAATCTATATTCGTATTTGCTGCAGATGTTGATAACCTAAAAATAAAAGGCCAAAATGAGAAGCAACATTTGAGATCCAAAAGAACAGCTAGTTAGGAAACACTGATTCAGGCAGAAACCTGAATAGTGTTCCAATCAGAAGGTGAAGGCAAAGGGGTATTTATGAGAAAAGGAAGGGAATAATTACATGAATAGAAGGAAGAAATTTTTATGGGTGTTAAAAGGGTAAGGAAAGAATTTCTGTAAATGCAGATACTAACATATTGCTAATTCTAAGGAATGTCTTTAAATTTCAGTCTGGTAGTCATAATGTGTGCTTCCCTTTTAGCTTTGCAAATTGTGTTTTGGAATACAGTTCTGCTTTAGGCCCAAGCCAAGAGTTATTTTGTCCAGTTTTAACATTGCAAAGGTTTGAGGAATTAAGACCTGCAAGGCATTTCCTCTGGGATGGCAGATTCCATTTTGAAGCATTTCCATTTATAGTATTTTTTGCAATGACAAACTATAAATGTTGATTTAAAAATAACAATAGAGGTTATTCCAGGTATGGGGAGCACTGACAGAATGAACAGATGTAATACAAGAGTCCCTAGGAGACTTCACTGTATATCTTTTATGCGTTTTAATTTTTTTTAACCATTTTTTTTCTTTAGGCTCTTCAGCTTCTTCACTGTTTCCCTCTAGATACTCGATTAAAAGACGGCAGTAAGTATAACCAAGTGTTGAGAAGAAAGTTTAATGCAATTTATAACTGGCTGCCTACATTTAAAATAATATTTGTATCATTTTTTAGGTTTGTTTTGGCAATCACCGAAGAGGCCCCCCTCTCCAATAAAATTTGATTTCAATGAACCTTTGTAAGTATTTATACTCAGTTTTATATGCATTCTTTATTGTTGTAAATCTTTTAACTCTGTATAGATTTACATTACTGGGTGAAAATCTCAGACTCTTTAATGTTAAGTTTTTATATCCTTGTTAATCTAAGAGCTAACATAGTCTGACCAACCAAGCCAGTCACAACCCTCTTTCCACAGAATCTATTTATTTATTCTCTATGGTAAATAACATCATTATTTTTATCTTTTTGAAAGTGAAACCAAAGTGTCACCTCTTGATTTTATCCATAAAAAGTAAAATGACAACAGTCATTTTTCTATTTAATAAAGCTGGTATGTAAGAAACTTCAGTTATATGGGGGTAAAAATGATTACTGCTAAATATCTCCCTAAATAATCTCAAATTAATTTTCGAAGGACTTAATCTTTGAGTGGATACCTGTATAACTATCCATATTAGATATACACATCATTTATACACACACAGATACTTATATGTGTGTATTTTTATTAAACACTTAGCTTGTTAACCTTTCTTTATCCTTAGTTTTTTTATCTGGGACTTATTTTAAGCTACCTTATCCTGACTGCATTACCTAGCAAACTTAGCCTTTCTTTGTTTTTAAACAAACTCATTTGCTTACTTTAAACATGATAGACACTTCTTAAAAACAAATGTGTAATATTATCTTATGAATTAAAATAAATTTTCTTTCACTAGTCTAATTTTTGTTCATCTGGCCACTCATATCCCCAAAGTAATCATGATTAGTACCTAATCATGCTTATGAGGATAAACATCTGATGTTTTTCTCTTTCATAGCTTCTGCAATGCTTTGGTCAAGACCAGAATTTCACTGCCTAACTTAAAAAAAAATACTGCAACAAAAATACTGTGGTTATTTTTCTTCAACATTTTAAAGGCTGTTGTTTCTGATGAATTAAACATCTTTAAAACTATACATTCACTCTGTTTTATTTTTAATTTCAAAGGCACTTCAGTTTCCTTCTGAATGCTGCAAAATTATATGCTACTGTCTATTGCATTCCATTTACAGAAGAGGTAAGATATTCTGGCTTAGAAAGTGATACAAAGCCAGGCTAAAATTAGATGAGTTACCGGCTGATTTTATCATCAAACTGTTTATATGTTATCAGAATTGTTCTTGAATATAAGCTTTTGATTTTGCTATATTGTTGCTCATTCTTACATAGCAGAAACTAAAATTTTGTTGCAGCATTACTAAATAGAAGAAAGTCAAATTTTTATTTGTAAGTGAAACATTTATAAAAGCAATCATACTTTAAAACATTTATAACCATTAACTTCAGTTATTATAATTACTCTGAAAACCCAGAGGGAACTATTTTGTAGCACTTTGAAAATATCCCTTAAAGTCTGTCTTTGTTAACATTTGTTTGGCTTATTTTGTGATACGATTTTCAGAAAATTTGAAAATACTATCCCGTATTGACATTGCTTAACCCTTTATCATCATACCCATTCTCTTAAACATCATTTTCATTGACTAACATCTGAAGACTGCAATATAGTTTTATTTCAGAGGCAGATTTGCATTGGTGAACTTTTCTTCACAAATGCATATTAGAGCAAAATATATTGTTATACTTTTAAGTAGGCCAAATAGAGAAATATGAATCAGATCTATGATAAACTCTAGCGATTTTTGGGTTCAGATCCAAATAGATCTAGCTGTTTTGAATCCAGATAAAAATGCCTGTTGTAGAATAATCCTTTTTGGACTTAATGCACAGTAAAATATACCTTAAATATCTGGTAAAAATAGTGGCATACAGTCTGATATTCTTTTTTTGTAAAAAGAGTGGTAATTTTGTGATAAGTGTTCCAGGAGACCTCGAATGCAGTATGTCTCAGTTTTCCCTAAGCAGCTTCTTAATAGCGAATGTGTATCTGATAGCCTTAAATTCATCCAAGTTCATCTTGAACCATTTAAATATTGTCCTGCTTTCAAAGATATGAATTCTGTTTACTTATTTTATTTATTGAGTATAACTTTGTAAAACAATGAAGAGAGAGTCCTTGATCTCAAGGCACTCAGTCTAATATTCAAACCAACCCTAAAACTACCTTTATAAAAATTTCTGGAAGGAACTAAAATTTCAGGTTTGTTAACAATAAGTACTTTTTCACACATACCACCCCCACTCCTAGCCTTTATGGTTGATATTTCTATAGAAGTAAAGATAAATGTCGTAAGTGGATGTAGTCTAAATAGTCACATGATTATTCACGTATTTTAGGGTGATAAAGGACTTTTTATAGGATGTTTTTAGCTTTAAAATTCAGAATTAAAAGAATAAGTTTGTTGATAAAGTTAATTTTTTAACAGGATTTATCAGCAGATGCCCTCTTGAATATTCTTTCTGAAGTAAAGATTCAGGAATTCAAACCTTCCAACAAGGTATGTTTGGAAGTTCTTTTAATCAGCAAATAGTTATTGAACTTCTCTGTGTATCAAGTCTTTCTAAACCTGGAGAATCCTGGAGAATCCTGGAAAATGAACAAAGCAAAATCCTTGCTCTTATGAAAGTTATATTCTAGTAGACCAGAGGTGGTCTATAAAAAAAAATGTCAGTAATTACATAATGTTGCAAATGAGTGTAAGTGCTAAGAAGAAAAAAAGAAAAGGGAAAAGAAAGAAATGGTGATGGAGCTGGTGTCATTTCATATAGGTTAAAAGGGGAAAGACTCTCTGATAAGGTACTTTTTGAGCTAAAGCCTTAAGGGAGTGAGCTGTGCTGTTACCTGGTGAAAGGACACGCAGTGCAGACAGTAGTATGAACAAGTGCACAGGAAGAAAGGTCTGGAAAGACTTTTGAGTGCCAGGATTTTTCGAAGAAGAATATGTAGGAGGAGACTGCTAGACTGTGAGATTAGAGACAGGTAGTTGGAATTTTGGTAAGTACTTACTTAATGTTTTATTATAAGATAAGAAGCCAGTAGAGGATTTTAAACAGAGAACAGTCTGAGTTATGTTTTGAAAGGATGACTCTGACTGTTAAGAACAATGACATGAGACAAAAGACAGGAAGCAAGAAAAGCTGTTAAGTTAAAGGCATGAAATGATGATGATTTGAATGCAGTAATAGGTAACAGGGAAATTGTGATAAGGGGTAGGATTCTGTGTCTTATTTTGTAGTAACCCTGCCAGGATTTATAAGGGATTTGAATTGGAGTGTGAGAGAAAGAAGATTGTTACTTTCTTATTTGAAATAAGAAGTAAACTTAATAGCTCTGAGAGGAAAAGAAGATAAAGGAAGTTTGAGCAGAGAAAAGAACATGTGAAATAATTGCCCAGGGGAGTGTGAAAGTCACTTAAATGGAATGTATTATAATTGTGAGAGCACTGAAGATCTACTTCATGTTAATTCCACTAAATGTGGCTGGAGAAAAGGCACTTAGCTGCTTGGGTGCTACTATAAAAGAGATGGAAATTGAATATGACAAGGGTTGGGATTTTGCCAGGCAAATATGTTAAAAAGAGATAAGGAATAATAATGAAATTTAAACAGGATATATAGGAAATTTTCAAAATGTTTTTTTTTTTTCTTCACATGTTCATTATATACCTTTTTGTATGGACTCTCAAAATCATCCATAAAACAACCTTCTGTTCTCCTTATTCTGTAGCTGTACTTGAAAATGTGGAGTAATGCCTACCTCCTTGCAAAATTAAAGAAGTGGTGTGTGCAATCTTCCACTCTGCATTTTTATTTTAGGGAAAAGAACTTGCAATAGATTTCATGCAAGTAGATGGGTTTGCTGAATGGAATGTTCATGACTTATAACTTATTAAGAATAAAAGTATAGAAAGGATAAACAGCATTTCTGTATAAATAAGGTTCCTAGCCCATGTTTCTAATAGGCAAAGTGTTAGACGGAAGCCAAGGAAACATGCATCAGTAACTTTACTAGTCGTTGCTCTTCAGTATGTTTTCTGGCCTGAGTTACTTCTTTGTCTATCAAAGTTTTGGGGTAATAAATTATCTGAGCAGTTTAGCTTAACATGGATTAATAAGCTTTTGACAGCTCTCTGAAGCAACTCACACTGGAGCTTCAGAGTCTGGCACTTCTAGTTAACAGATGTTACATCCAAAAATATCAACTAGACAGTTTAGCAAACAAAGTTTTTGCTTTGACTTCTTAATATTTCTTAAATACTTATAATAATATTTAATCTGTAAAAACATGAGCTAGATGTGTTTTTTAATAAGATAGTATTTTAATTATTGACAATGTAGGAAGTTTTTTAGTTTGAGCAAATTGACTTCACTCCCCTTGTAGAATGTCTAATAAGTAATTTCTTAAGGATAAATTACATATATGTGTAGCCCTGCATCTGTATGAAGAAAGATATATTGTCTAGGAAAGAACTACCTGTTAGCCATCAATAAATACTTAAAGGATGCTCATATTATATTTGTTATAGATCTCTTCAATTTAGAGACAGAAAATAGCTATGTATTAGTTACAGCAATGCAGTTTGGTTTAAAGTAGATTTGTCAGAATCACAAACTGTTGATGATTATTAACTTTATTTTAGTGTGGCATTTTAAAAGAGATCCACATGAACTCAGATCTCACAAACTTTTCAGTAAATATTTTTATTACCCACTATGAGCAAGTTTGTTTTAGATATATCGAGGTGTTCTCAGTGAACAAGACAAAGATCCCTGAGAAAAAGATTATCATGGAGTGTCACTGTTAGGAGATAGATAACAGAGAAAACAAATATATAAATATAATACTACCTACTAATGGAAGGTGTAAAATACGTTGGATCATGATGATTAATAATCTGATTAAACTAGATAGAGGAAGTGTTTTCTGTGTCTTATTTGATAAAACAGATATGGTAATCAAACTTAGATGCAGGTTGCGATAAAATTAACATGTATTCATATATTTAAAGGTTGTTCAAACAGATGAAACAGCGAGGAAACCAGACCATGTTCCTATCAGCAATGAAGATGAGAGGAATGCTGTTTTCCAACTAGAAAAGGCTATTTCATCTAATGAGGCTACCAAAAGTAAGGGGAAATCTTTATGAAAATGTTTTGAACTGTAGAGATTGTTATTTTTACTAAGTTCTATACCAGAAACTTGTGGGATTAAATAATAACAGCAATAATAATAATATTTGATTTCATGATCATAATGAAAGGCACAGTTCATCTTTAACTGTGATTAAATTCATAATTTTCTCCACCGTTGCCCTACCCTCAAAGGCTAAAATGTAAGTCTGCTGTGTTGTTCTGATCATTTTAGTCCTTGAAATTTTATTGTGCAGTTTCTTTTTAATTTATGGTTAGCATAATGAACAAAGAATGGAGTTCTTGTGGAGACTAACCCTTAGACAAACCCAGTTAAGTTATTTTAGGATCAAAAAGCGTAGACAGATATTTTTCTTGGCTTCTTAGTCTCCGTAATTGCACACAGAGAATACAAACTGACCTGCATACATCCTTGGTGTTAAATGCAGGGAGACTGAACTTTTACTTCCTTAAAAACAGCTATTAGCTCATGTTTTGGGACCTGCTCACCACTTTTGTATTACATAAATCAACAGTTTCCAAATTGGATTTTATGTATGGATCAGTAAAATTTGGGAAGAACAGCCTGGATTAGCCAACTATTTATTTTTCAAGTAAAAGATAGTGTCTTAGTTTAATAATTATAGTTCTGGAAAAAACATACTGTCATTTCTTACCTTCTCATTTCATCCATCACAGATCAAACTACACCTGTCTACAGAATAATTTTGTGAACCATATGTCTTTGACCTACTAACTCAATTCTTAGTTATCAGAGGTGAAAAATTTCAGAGTAGTATTTTTGGAATTAATTTGTGACCAATATTCAGTGTTGCCTTTTTATTGTAAACCACTTAATAGCAGATGTAATACATGGATTTATTATTTTTCTATTTTTTAGAAAGGTTTTTTTTAAAACATAGAAACTTCTCTGATTTAGTAGTAGTAAAGCTATTATTTTCATGTCCTTCAATAACTGCAGTTCTCTGGATTTTTCTTGTACTTCTCAGTCATTTAAAAACATAAAAAATAACAGAAATGTTTAAGAGTAGTGAACCCGCATTGCTTTTTACCTAGTAAAACTTTTACTACTTACTAAAATATTTTTTTTTCTCGTTATTATGACTAGGTGACCTTCAGATGGCAGTGCTTTCATTTGAAAAAGATGATGATCATAATGGACACATAGATTTCATCACAGCTGCATCAAATCTTCGTGCCAAAATGTATAGCCTTGAACCAGCTGACCGTTTCAAAACAAAGCGCATAGCTGGTAAAATTATACCTGCTATAGCAACATCCACTGCTGCCGTCTCTGGCTTGGTGAGTTTATTATTTTTTGAATTTCCCCATTATTCTACCTCCAGCCAATCACTCAGAGATAATAGAGAGAGATACATACTGATCTTTAAAATAAAATTTCAAGATATTTCTTAAAATAATCTGCATTTTGAAGATTACAGATATATAAATGTTTTAACATAAAAATAAGCTCTGTCAAGATAGTCTGATTTTTTTTTTATAGGCAATAATCCTGTTAATCATCTTTGTGTCCTCCATACAAAGCAGATGCCCTATTTTTCTTGAATAAAATGAATTGCCTTAATTTTTGCTGTTTGATTATATTTTATTTTAGTTCTTTGCCTTAAAAAAATGTAATTCCTATTTGTGATTTGAATTTCTTACAATTTCATCTTTCCTTTATGATTCAGAATCTTTAGGATAGCCCTTGTTATTATACTGTACTAAAGTGTTATTCTTAGAAGCTATATAATTAACTGCTTCTATTTTAAATGATTTTAGACTGTTGTATTTCTTGAGTTCTGATGTCTGCTTTCTGAGAAGATTACATGGCCAAATTAATATTTTTTTAATAACTTGGTTCACATATAGAACAGATGGAGAGTTTGAAAGTAAAAAATATGCTAAAAGTGGAGAGACTCATAAAAACTTTATATTACTCTAGTCCAGTAGTTGTTTTTATTCTTTACAGAGAAATGCTTGAGAAGAATTTAGGAAAATTAATTAGATGCAGTTCAAGTCATGAATAGTTTTAAGCTGTTTATATAATCAGATCACTCTTTTTTATGTAGGTTGCATTGGAGATGATCAAAGTAGCTGGTGGCTATCCCTTTGAAGCTTACAAAAATTGTTTCCTTAACTTAGCCATTCCAGTTATAGTGTTTACAGAGACATCTGAAGTAAGAAAAACTGAAATCAGGTATGTTTGAAGCTCTGTTTCTCTTGCACAATGAGAATGAAATAAAATTTTAACTTTTTTAATGTAAAAATACTAGCTTCACATATCCTTTTCTTCTATGTATAAATCCTTGCCATCACTTCAAGACCATATCAAAACCCCATTTTTATGAAGTATTTCTGAGTAAACTAGTCATGGAATTCTTATAACATTTAATCTGCCACACTACTTAGCATTGTATTTTCTGTTTAACTCAGAGGAATTTAAAAGCACTCAAGTGTCTGACTGATAGATAATATACTTTAGACTCTAGTTTCGAAAGCTGTGTGACAAAGCAAAACAATCCTCTTGGACCTCCATTTTTCACTTTTCAGATTGGCAACAACCAAATATTTGAAAATACCTATCTTGGCAAGAGTGTGAGAAAGCATTCTCAAATATTTACTAATGAGAATATAAATAGTATAACCCATAATAAGGAGACTATAGCACTGCATTTTAAATTTGCAGGTACTTTTACATTTATCTCAAATGATATATGTACAAGATATTCATTCTGGTGCTATTTATCATACCCAAAGATTAGAGCAACCCAGCTGTCCAGTAATAGGGCACTGGAACATCCATTCATATAGTGAAACCCATGCAGCTGTTTAAAAAGAGAGAGAGGGCGAGAACTCTCTCACTAAGACATACTGATTTATAATGAGACACTGGAAGGATCAACAAAGAACTGATAAAAGTCGTTACCTGTATAGTGTTGTGGGGAAATAAGATTACGGAATATTTTAGAAGTTGTATTTTCCTTTCTTCCCCTACTTTAATATCTAGCTAAATTACAAATAATGGGAGGTTTCTGTTATTACTAAAGGCAAAAAATTAAAATGTTTTTGTTCTGAATGTTTTTCTGCAACAGAAATGGAATATCATTTACAATTTGGGATAGATGGACTATACATGGAAAAGAAGATTTCACCCTCTTGGATTTCATAAATGCAGTCAAAGTGAGACATTTATTCACTTAGTTGTTTTGAGTCTATTACTTTTTATACATAATTTCATTGAAGGTTTTTATAAATATTATTTAGCAAGAGTTCTCTTTTTACTGATTGTAAAATATTGTCACCCAACATTTTATATTTGCATGGAGCTTTGATTGTTTCTCTTTTGGATATTCATTTTTAGGAGAAGTATGGAATTGAGCCAACAATGGTGGTACAAGGCGTCAAAATGCTTTATGTTCCTGTAATGCCTGGTCATGCAAAAAGATTGAAGTTAACGTAAGTATCAAACATTATGTGCAGAAGATTCACAAGAAAGTATATAAGCTGGGTGCACACTGTAAAATTAACTATAGAGGTTATCGAAATTCAGATAAAAGTATTTGATTGACTCCTAATGGCAATAACAAAGACAGTGAATCTACCAAACTCAGTAGACTGCCTCTCAAGGAAGATTCATGGGATTACAATACCATTGTGAAATTATTCTAGTTCAGAGTTAACTTTTTAGCCACTAGGCTTAGAAACCTGATTTAGTCACTCTACCAAGTGAAAATAGATCACCTCATGTGGAAACATATATGACCAGGATTATGAGACTGAAATATAAAACAAAAATACCAAATTGTTATTTTCATTTATTCAAGAGTGTCTGCTAAGTGCCACATAATTTTCATAAGCCTTAGGGATATAGCATTGAGCAAAGCAAAATCCCTGACCTACTTGAGTTTGCATAATAACTAGACAGATATGTCAGATGTTATTAAGTGCTGTGGATTAAATAAAGCAGAATAAGGGGGTAAGTTGCTATATTATATTTAGTAGTCTGGATATTCCCTGAGCCTGTCACAGGGAATACCTGATAAGGTGGCATTTGAGCAGAGACCTAAAGGAAAAAAGGGAGTAAAAAAAGACAGCCCTTATAGTGGTCTGCAAGGGCCTAAATGATCTGGTTCCCAGTTACCCCGCTGAGTTCCTTTTATACTTCTCTCCCTTTGCACACAAAATTCGAACTGTCCTGACCTTCTTTTTCCTTGAGCACTCCAGGCATTCTCCGATTGTTTTCTCTGCTTGTAATTCTTTTTCTTTCAGACCCCTAAGTGTCTTTTGGATAAATTATGAGTAGTATTTAGATTTTCTTTACTATATACTACATAGATGAGATTGGAATGTGTGGTCCTGAAGTATATTGATTAGTGGAATTTAAAATTTGCTGAGGATAATTCACAAAAATGTTTTATAGTGTTGGCCAGTATTTGAAACTTTCAGCATGATATGTTTTGTGAATGATATTTCTCATTATGTTGTTTATTTAGAGATATTTACTGAGTACCTATGAAGTGACTAGACAAACTTGGCTTTAGAAAGACCTGGGTTCACATCCTTGCTCAGCTACTTACTTATTTTGTCACATCAAGTAGCTTGAAGTTTTTGAAACTTAGTTTCCTATCCACAAATAGGGATGATTATGCATGTCCATAACTGTTGAGCACTAAAATAATAGTAAGGGTTAGCAGTATAATGACAATTAAGAAGTATTCCATGAATGTTACTCCTGTAAACATTTTGTCATCATACATCTTTATGAAATATCCCATGCCCTCAAGGTGTTCACAGTGTTCTAAGGAAAAGTCATATGTTAATAATTAAAATGTAATTGAAAAAAATATTATAATAAAGGTTTTTACAGAGTACTTTGGGCACTACTAACTCAAACCTTCAGCTTAGAGTAGATTTCTTTTGAACTTTCTTTGAAAATGGATTATATCAGGCTAAAACAATAGGTAGTGCAAAGACATGTAGCTAATATTAAGGAGCATACATGATGTATTTGGGAAATCGGTTATTTTGGAATGAATGACTTAAGGATAAGGTGGTGAGAATAAATGGTGGAAAGAATGAAAAGTTATATATAGGACAAAATATCTTTGAAAAATGGAAAGACCTGCTATTGAGGATTAAAGATTTTATGGTTCAGAGCCTGGCATGAAATAGGTACATAATATATGATAGATAATGTTATTAGGCAGGAGAATAACATCAAATTTACATTTTAAGAGAATTCTGGCAGCAAAGTAGATTGGAGGTAGCAGAGAGACTGGAGACAGCTGGCTAGAAGTTAATACATTAATTGGATATATCAATGATGATTTAATACAGTAGCGGTGACAATGGCAAAAACTAAGTGGTTTTTTTAGTAGGGTAAGCGTAGGATATAAGGAAAAGGTGAAACTTAATGTTTTTTACTGTGACATTTCTAGCTTGTATTTGAAGATTTAAATCTTGCTTGCTTTTTACTGTTTACAGAAACATGCTTGAAAAGAATTTATGATGCCTCCAAAATATATTGAGAGTATAAGAGAATTCGTTTTTTGAAAGCATTGCTTTAAAAAATCATTTTGGGTTTTTTTGTGTGATTTTTGTGAGTTAGGGTTTGTCTTACTTTTTGTTTGTCTTTTAATACATGGTTTGTATTCTTTATCACCATCAGCAGTAGTCCAGTTTAATTCACTGTTAGGTAAATGAGTGTCTTGAGTTTAGAACTTTTAGTAAAAAAAAGAGAGAGAGAGAGAAAATATATGAAAGCAAATGAATTATTAGATTTAAAAATGAAATTAAAGTCTAGATATAAGTCCAGATTCTCTGGGCAACAGTAGACAGCATATTACTTTTACTTCACAGAATTTACCAAATCATTTGTCTTTGGTTATTTTTCTTAGAATGCATAAACTTGTGAAACCTTCTTCTGAAAAGAAATATGTGGATCTTACTGTGTCATTTGCCCCAGACACTGATGGAGATGAAGATTTGCCTGGACCTCCAGTAAGATACTACTTCAGTCACGATACTGATTAACAGAAGTTGTCTTAAAGTTACCCTGGGACTACTTCATTTTGGGAAAAAAATGCACTTAATTCAGAAGCTAAAAAAATCAGCTCATGATATGATGTATTTCTCTTCAAGGAAGCCTTAATTTAAGGGAAACACCAGTAGGAAACTACACTGGAGAACTGCAAAACATTTTGGAGCATAGTATACTCTTGTCTAGTGCTTCATATGTGGATATGATCACAATCAACTTTGAACTTGAATGCCAACTTTTGAACTGTATAATGCGTACAACAAATTTGTGTATTAACTTCTGTCTGAATAGAAGGAAAAAATATCTATACATCACCAGAAGAGATAAAAGATCAGGAATTTGAAAATAACAAATGCTATCCAAAAAGTTTAATCCCATTTTATAAATTTCTTATTTGTTTAGTATTTGAGGTTCATTTTTTTATACAAGTAGTGTAGGGCACCCTGTACTTCTCATGATTAGGTTTTGAATTTAACAATGGTGGGAAGCAGAGGGATGGTAGCAGTGGATGAAGAATAGACATATTAAGTTGTACAGTTACAGTTTACTATCCTGTTACCTCTACTAGATTAACCAGTTTGTTATATCACTGTCTCCCCAAAATCAGGATCTTTGCTGATAGCATCATTGTTGTAAGCCATGAGCAATAGGTCAGATGACACGTGTTAACTTGGACTAAGTGTTAAAACAGTATTATTTGGACTCTGACAACCCTCTTAGAGAATCCATGAATGTGAACAGATAAATGTGGCTAATCATTTGTTTTTCAATATGCCTTCTAATGCGGCTGTTTTATTTATTTGGAACTTTAAACTTGATTGTCATAGTACGTAAGACTAAAAGGTTTTGTGAAGGGACTGTTTTTTAGAAGTAGATGAAAACCAAAAATTTAAAAATCACTAGTCGAGTCTGGATCTTTTTCTTTCATCAACTTTAGTAGACAGAAAAAAATAATAATTTAATGTATTATTTTATTCTGCATTCCCAGAAAGGGAGTTGACAAAGATAAAAAATTTATTTTTTTAGGTCTTTATTAATAGAAACTTTCTGTTTTCTGATGAGCTGTTGCAGATGTTCATGTAAGTGCTTTGATGAAAATGATGTAAAAATATTCAACACTGTAAACTCAGTGAAAACAGCAAGTGTTTCTTTTATTCTAAGACTATCATGTATTCTTAAAGAATTGGCATGTTGTAAACACAGAAAGTCATTTCTCTCCAGCTGCTTTTCTTCTCCTTTCCTGTTCAGACCATTAATAGGTACTTTGATAAGTTAAACATTAAATTCACATCAACGATATTACTCCAGGTTGGCATCTTTTTCATACCCTCTACTTTTTCTTTTATTTCATTTACAAATAGTTTAAATTACTTTGTCAACCAGCTGTATTGTTTTATTCTTTTGTAAAACTATCACCCAATTGGGAAAATATATTTATTTGGGACCAGAGGGTAAATTTATATGATTAAAGGATAATCTGTGCATTGGGAGGTGGGGAAAAGTGAACAGGATGAGTTTGAAGGAAACGGCTACCTTTGAAATAAGCAATTAATTATGGGTTCACTATATCCTACCCTCTCCCATTGTGCATATTGCAATTTTAATGTTTAAAATTAGTATTACTCAAAATTTAATCCAAGAATATCAGGGTTCTGTGGCTTGGAACTTTATAGGCTAGGAATAATAAAAGGACTTTTCTATAAGAATTCTTTTCCCCACTTTCACTTTGTTTTGTACTCTATGACAGTAACTGACACTTTCCAGGTAGCCATTCAGTAATACGCAACTATGATCTAATAGCTTGCATATCTTTTGATCTAAATCTCACATCTCTGAGAGTAAATTTAGAATTATTATATCAGTTCTTATTTATAGAGATCAGTGCTTTAGCAGATACAAACAAAATCAACAAGCATTAAGTTCATTTTGTGATTACACTTGAAACCATTTTATCATTGCTTTTTTTTTTCTGTAAGTAATGGTTACTGCCATTAATTTCTTCTGTTTAGTTCTACTAAGCTGGGAAGCCAAGGTGGAGTTAATAATATTTTTCATTATCTGTTTTGTTTATTTCTGTACCATGAAATTACTGTTGATGATTGAAATACCAGGTGCAGAAATTAATGATTGATTTTGTACGGTACCACTGAGTAGTTTTTTACTTATTAAAAATAAGAAATTTGACAATGTATTTGTAAAGCCTGTTCCATAGTTGACTCCAGAGATTCCAATTTTACTATTCATTTTGTGGGTAATGTCACTTTGGTGTCTTCTTAATTTTCAAGTCTTGCAGTCATGGAAATAGAACAGTCACAGTGCGAGGGCCATTACTTCAAAGTGCTTTTGACTCCTAGACATCATATCAAAACAATTGGGGGGTAATTGTGACTGTGTAAAACCCATATGATCTGGTAATCCCAGACCGTTGGTTACAGATTTCTAAAGTCCATTTACTTGAGAGTTCAAAGCAGTCTTGTTTACTTATCTGTAAGTTCCTCTAAATTATCCCAAAGGTGAAACTTGGAAATAGATGTCTACCTTTAAGTTCACTTACTTTATAATTAGTAAAATGAAGACAGAAAGATAGTTATTTCTTAAGATTTTGAGGAAAAATCTCTTGACCTAATTTAACCATAATGGATATTATCAAAAACTCTTTGTAATTGTAAATATATAATTATTTGTATACAATTACTAGGTATGGGTTTAACTCTTTAACAAATTCAAAAACAAGAAATTGAAATCTCAGGGATTGTAGTAAGTAATGCGGTCATTTTTGTTCATTTTCTCTTGCCATGTCCTAGCTTTGTTTTTTTTTAATTGAGAAACAAATACTTAAAAAATATATATTCAAAAGAGTACATAAAACATAAATACACAGTTTAAGGAATCATTTACTATAGTGTTACCACTTCTGTAAGTACTCTTGCTTTTTGATGGTTTTTTAATAACTTTATGTAAATGGAATTGTACTGTATTTTGTTGCTGCTTTTATTGAACAAAGGATTCATTTATTTGTTGCCTATAGCTATACTTCATTCATCATCATTGTCGTGTAATTTACCTTTACATTAACATATCACAATTTATTCATTATATTGACTGTAGACAGTCATATTTAGTTTGGGGCAGTCACAGTTTCACAATGAACATTATTGTGTGTATCTCCTACTGCAAATAAGTTATACCTAGGAATGGAATTGCTTGATCATAGGGCATTCATTCATATCTTAAATCTTATTAGATGATAAATAAAGTTTTTGCTAAGCAGTAGAGATACCCTGTTTCTCCACATCTTGCTCAACACTGGAGTTTACAGATTTTGTAAAATTTTGCCAATCTGGTGAATGTGTGGGTTGTACCTCATTGAAGTTTTACTCTGCATTTCCCTAATTACCAGTGAAATTGAGGACCTTTTCATAAATTTGTTGGTTTTTCTTTTTTGTAAAATGTTTTCTCAAGTCTTGTCCATTTTTTTGTTGGCAGTCTTTTTTTCTTTATAAATCTTGTTCTTTGTTAGCTATATAGTTAAAAATATCTTCTCCCACTGTGGCTTGCCTTTCTCTTTCTTTATGATGTTCTTTGATAAAAAGAATTTGTTAATAGCTACTGAGAAGTATCAATCTTTAAGGTTAAGAGTTTTTCGTAAGTTGTATGAAAAAAATGTTCTTTACCCAAAGGTCATAAAGATACTCCTTTATATTGTCTTCTGAAAGCTTTAGTTTTGCTTTTCACATTTAAATTTTTAATTTATGAGGAATTAATTTTGTGTATTCTGAGAAGTGCCTCATTACCATCTACTGAAGTCCATTCTTTTCTACAGTGTCACTTTTCTGCACTGCCACCAAAGTCATATATCCATATATGTGCACATCTCTTTTTGAATTGTTTCTTCTTTCTCTTCTATACTTGTGATTGCATACTATCCTCATCACTGTAGCTGATATATTGATTTTGCTACTTGGCAGAACTAGTCCACCCAACTTATTGTTCTGTAAGAATGTCTTGGTTATTCTTAGCCCTTTGTATTTTCAGTTCTCAAATTTCTACTAGCAAATATGGAAATATGCCACTTGCAGTTTCCAGTTATCTTGCTGAAAATTTCAATCTTTTATCTACCTGAACATGAAAAGAATTATTATTTTAGAGTCTGTGTTTAATAATTCCCAAATCTAAAATTATCCTGTGGGTCTGTTTTTAATTTTCTTTTGTTTCTGCTAATCCTCATTCTTAATATTTTGTGTGTGTCTTATTATCTTTAATTGTATGCCAATATTACATTTGAAAAATTGTAGAAATAATTTGATGCCCAGTATGGTATTTTCATCCTTTACAGAGTTTTTTTTATGTGCTCTACCACTTGAGCACTAGTAATTTAGGATCAGTTTGGCTCAGTGTAAGAGACTGAGATTTTCTCAGTCATCCATTTGACTCAGAGCTGAGCTGTAGTCTGTACTATGCTCTTCTTGTTAACCCTCACTCCTCAGCCCTTCAGGGTTGTAGTGTGGGTTCAGGTTTCCAGGGCCCTCACCTCTTGGCTGCCACTAGACTCTGTGTTTGAATCCCTTGTTCCTTAGTTCTGCTAAGCTTCTCAGTGGCCTCTTAAAAATCTGCGAAAGCTCCCAGGGCACAGATGGTCCCAAATGAAGGTTTCACCTTGATGAAATTCTATTTTCTCCCAGATATTAGCTGATAATTATTCACTAACTTAGCTCTCTGATTCCATCCAACATTTTTTATTATATATTGTACAGCTTTTCTAAATGTTCTCAAGTGAGAACGTTAAACCAAATTACCTAGCCCACTTTATTTCCTATTGATTATGTGTAAAATATAATTGATTTCTTTGTATTGCTTCTGTATCTGGGAATTTACTAAACACTAATGATTCTTGCAAATTATTTGCAGATTATTTTGGATATCTTATATAATCTTCAAATAGGGACAGTGTTTAGTCTTTTTTAAGATCCAGATTTTGTTTTTGTTAATCTCTATTGTATATTTGTTTTCTATTCCTTTAATTTCTACTCTTATCAATATTATTTACTTTTTTCTATTTCTTTTGGGATTTTTTACTGTTCTCATTTCTAACTTCTTGAGATGGATGCTTGCTTCATTCATTTTCAGCCTGTTTTCCAACATATGCATTTAAAAGTTTAAAGATGTCTATATTACTGTAATATAACAGTTATATTACATTATAGTCGAATCACTGTTGTCATATTACGTAAGTTTTGAGATATATTAATATTAAGTTAAAATATTTTCTTATTTTTCATTAAAAGTTCCTCTTCAACTCTTGTCCTTTTTAGGGCAATGTTTCTTTATTTCCAGCACAGAGTTTGGATTTGGGGGCTTTTAAAGTCCAGTTTGATAATCTTTGTCTTTTAACAGGAACACTTAGGCCATTTACATTTAATTTAATTACTAATGTGTTTAGATTTATTTCTGCCATTTTATTTTATGGATTTTCTTTTTTTGATCTAGCCTGTTCTATGATTATTTTTCTCTAATTTCTTGCCTTGTTAAATTTGTATTTACCTAATTTCTTTATTCCATTTATGCCAATTATTAACTGATTGTCTCTCAAAGCCAGATACTCTTCTGTATTCTGGAGCTTTTCAGACCTCATTTCTCCTTTGCCATTTGGCTTCCTTTTGGTTTCACATATAGCAGGCACTAGAAGGAGATTGGAATTATGGACAAAAGAAGAGACTTTTACCCTTGCCATTTGCTTCCCAATTTTGTCAGCATCACTTCAGCAATGGCTTTCTTTTTTTTTTTCTCTGAGTAGTTGTTGTTGGTTTCTAGGCACTAGCATTTCTCTGGCACTCTGCAGGGTATCTCTTCTAGGCTTCAGGTTTTAATAATCTTTCCCTCTTCTCTTTAATAGTTGATTCTCTTGCTGACATTTTCAGTTCTCCTTAAACCTGTTTAACCAATTCCTTAGGTTAAATTCTTAGTGTAAATGATATGGTTTCTCTTTTCTTGATATATCCCTTTTTTTTCTCTCTACCAGTTTAGTGGCTTTATTTTTTTAATTTTTAAAATTATAGTTTTCATACAATATTATATTAGTTTCATATGTACAACTGAGTGATTAGACATTTATATAACTTATGAAGTGATTACCTCAATAAATCCAATACCCATCTGACACCATACATAATTATTACAATACTACTGACTATATTCCCCATGCTATACATCTCCATGACTTTTGTAACTACCAGTTTGTACCTCAACACCCCCCCTTTACCCATGCCAACCTCTCCCACTCACAAATCTGGCAACCATCAAAATGCTCTCTATCCATGAGCATGTTTCTGTTCTGTTTGTTTATCCTGTTCTCTAGATTCCACATAAAAGTAAAATCATATATTTGTCTTTGACTTATTCGCCTCAGCATAATACCCTCTAGGCCCATTCACGTTGTTGCAGATGGCAAGATTTTATTCTTTCTGGCTGAGTATTATTGCATTGTATATTTACCACCTCTTTATCCATTCACCCACCGGTGGACACCCAGGTTGCCTCTTTTGATGATTACTCTATTTTACAGCATGCATATTCAGACTAAAGTTAATCATATTTACCTTTATTTTTCCCAAAAATGGCCACGACAATATTACTAATCTCACTCTTCTAGAAGTTTGCCACACATCCCGAACCCTATCAAGAGACAGAATTTGATTAAACACCCATTGAACCAAAACAAAAATTTATGACTGCCTCGACTAATGTAACAGAATGTAGTATATGTAATTGTATGACTTCCGAGGTTAGGTCATAAAAGACTATGGCTTTTGCTTGGCCCTCTCTTGCTTGCCATCTCCCTCTTGGAAAGCTCACTCTTGAAATTCTGACATGCTGTAAGGGAGCCTAAACTAGCCCACATGGAGAGAAACTGAGCCCCTAACCTACAGCCAGCATCAGATGTCAGTCATGTGAGGAAATAAGCTTTCAGATGATTTCAGGCCCCAAACTTACTGGAGCAGAGACAAGCCATCCCTGCCACACCCTGCCAAATTCCTGAGCCACAGAATCCATGAACATGAATTGTTTACGCAACAAAGTTTGGAGATTATTTAATATGCAGACATAATAACTAAAACAATTTTCTAATTCCCAACTTGCATACTATGGTTATATATTTTATTTCTGTTACGTATTTTAATTCTGTCGTCATTTGCTTTAATGCATTTAATTCCACAAAGCTTTATTATTTTGTTTATATAGTCAATATTTGTATTTACCCACACATATCACTTACTTTGCTCTTTATTCTGTTTACTATCTCAGGCTTACCATCTGAGATAAATTTCTTGCTACCTGAAATATTTTCTTTAAAATTTCATTTTGTTAGAATCCACTGGTATCATACTTGCTAATGTTTTTTTGTATGAAAATATCTTTGTTTTGCCCTTATTCTGCAAAAATATTTTTGCTGAATGTAAAGTTCTAATTTGGTCTTTATTATCTTCTAACACATTGGGGATAATTTTCTATCTTATAACTGTTGCTGTTGAGTCAGTTATCAGGCTAAATATTGCATCTTTAAAAGAAATCTCTTTATCTGCTTTCATTTCATGCAGTTTAATTATTATGTGTCTAGGTATAGATTTCTTTTGTTAACTTTTTTGTGATTAGTTCAGCTCTTTGTATCTGGTATTTTGTATTTTGTTGGTTCTGTGAGTCTCAGATAATACTCCTTCATGTATTGCCTCTTCCTCCGTTCTTTTCTCTTCTGTGGGACTTCTTAGTAAGCATGGTAGATTTACTCCGCCTTTCATGTTTATCATCTTGTCTTTTATATTTTCCAGTTGTTTTTGTCTTGTCATGTTTTGTTCTGTATTTCTTCTGACCGATATTCTAGTTTACTTCTCTTTATCTGTTTCATATGCACTTACTATTTCATCCATGTATTTTTAAATTTTGGTTGTAGAAGTTGTTTGATTCTCTTTTTAAAAACTGCTAGATTACTTTTTATATTGCTGCAGATATTTTCTAATATCTATTTAAATTATAAAGGCCATTTTATGGTCTTTCTCTGCCAATTTCAATTTCTGCAATTTTTTGTGCCTCCTTTTCTGTTGTTTCTCCCAGCTAAATGTGTTGGTGGTCTTCTGTTATACTCTCCACTTTGGTCCAGACCTGGGCTTTGATTTCTATCTCCCTTATCTATTCCTTTTCACTTTGTTAACAGTCAACCTCATTGCCTCACTATCTTCAGGAGTCCATTTTTTTAAGTGTTCTGTATTAAGCACTGTATTTTCTTATGAAATGCAAGAATTTACTCAACATTTGAGATGGTAACACATTGGAATTCTTTAGTCTCTTGTTTCTTATCTATATTCAGATTAAATCGTAAGGTTCTTGGGAATAAGATATAGATTAGATAAATGATAGATGATTGATCTTTTGTAACCTTTGCACAATTAAAACTTGATATCTCAGATTTTAAAGAAGTAGGTTGTAAACTTCATTGTGGTGTGTGATAAAAAGGCAGATTTCTGGACAACCCTCAGAAATTAATAAGTGAGGGAGGCTTAGGATACTGCTTATGTTCAGACATTTCAAATAACTCATTGAATTAGTTTGCTGGGGCTGCCATAACAAATGTTACAGACTGAGTGGCTCAAACAATAGAAATTTATTTTCTCACAATTCTGGAAGCTAAAAGTGCAATCAAGGTGTCAGCGGAGTTGATTTTTTCTGAGGTCCCTCTCATTTGTAGGTAGTTGTCCTTTCCCTCTGTCTCACATGGTTTTTCCTCTGTGTCCTAATCTCTTCTTATAAAGACACATCTTTATAAGATGATGGAGCTAAGCAGACCTTAGGAATTCATTCTAATTCTTTCATTTTTTCAGGTGAGGAAACCAAAGAAGCCAAAAATTCAAATGATTAGAACCAGGAGTAGAATATAAGCCATATCTTTGGATTCTTGGTTGATTGCACAAGTGATTTCCAAATTGAATCAAAATCTATGGAAGCTTTTCAGGAAAAAAATTTATGAAAAAATACCCCGAGATTTTGATTCAGAAGATTTGGTGTGGGGATGAGGAATTGGTACTTTTAAGAAATTCTGATTATAATCAGTTTCATACCATGTTCTACTGTGAAATGGGTGCTTATATATAGCCTTTTACCATCCTTATAGATTACTGTTTTTACAAAAGGAGATACAGATTGGTTTTGAGCTAGCAAAAAGAACATCAGGGGAAAACATGGAAATGAGTAAAATTTATTTATTTTCAATTAAAAACGTATATTTCCATTGGAAAAAAGGCTTCTAGTACATTTCATGTCTCTGGTCTCCAGTTAGATAATCAGGGTGACTGATAATTGATAAATTGGTCGAATCAGATTTCAACAAAACCTACTGAGGCGTTTTTTGGAATTGCTAGAATTTAGGAGAAATAGAGAATGTTCTATGGAAACTATATATAGGGAAATATACTTAATCGAAGCCTAGGAAAATAAAAATTTCATTTAGAAAGGACCGTGTTTTCAACTTACACCAGTGCATAGAAAGTGTATACCTGCGAGTTACCCTCACAGCCATATTCCATGGTATCCCCGTATATTGGTTTTATTCTGATAAGATAATGAATTGTATGCTACAATGTTTAATTCTGGTGTCCAGGTAAGTGACTTAGTAATCAGGATCAGAAAAATAGAGGTGATTTTCTTTAAAAGATCTTCCTTTTGAAAATTATAAATTACCAAATATGTGAAGGTAGTGTTCCATTTTATATCATGCAATATGTAAATTTTTTCTTCAACCTCTCTCTTCTCCCTTCTGGCCTAGAAATTGTGGGTGGAAAAGCTTGGTTAAAGATCCAATATCAAGGAACAGGGCAGTTCTTGACTTTCAACATGAAGTGATTTTCCTGCTTGTATTTGGAACATTGGTGGCATGTTTAAGAAATGTTAATCAAACACTAAATATTCGGATGCTTTTTTAATTTTTTAATTTATCCTTGACTTATAACTTGATTCATAACAAGTTTTTCTCTAGGAAGCATTTTTTCTTCCTGGTTAGCTTAATATCAGTTACCTAACCTATCGTATTTTAAAGTGGCCTTCAGTTTATACTGTTAATTTGTGAAGTTGGGAAAAATGAAGAAATATCTTTAACCATTCTGGTTCCATCGTTGCTTTTGTCTTCTGGTGTCAGAGACAAACCTGAATGCAGATATTAGTTAATAAGGATCAAAGAAAATCTCATTTTCTTTTTGATAGTATTTTATTGGGAAAAACCTTAACTTTCTCCAAGTCTCAGATTTTAGTCCTTAGGTGCTTTACAAATGCCATTTCCCTGCTTAAGGTAACTTTAAAAAAAGGGCTCTAGCATTCCCACTGTGCCCAGTCAGCTATGAGTCTGAACTCCTTAAACAATTGTAGGGTTCCCCAGTGTCCTTAAAACTTCAGCACTATTTGTCAAGATGAGTTTTGACCTTTTTGTAGCTTTTCTTAGTCTAGTTTCCACTCTCATTCATTCTTTCAATTTACTCTTCCACCATCTCTCTGCTTTTGAAAGAAAATAGGTTACAGAAGATAGTCTGATTATTTGAAGTCTCTCTCCATGTTTCCCTTTAATTCCATCTGTTCATATGTCATCCCTAATCCTTATAGCTACAGAATCTGAAATGCTGGGAGGTTGAGTAATTTGTTCCTGATCACAAAGCAAACTGAGCAAACTCTCATCTACCAGAGCAATAGTAATCTGGCTATCTGTTTCTAAAAGTATTGACCTGTTATATGAACAGCCCTTTGGTTCTTTCCATTTTTTCTTTTTTCTCTTCTGGCCCTACTCTGAGGATGGCCCTTAGTCAAGGTGCTGTACTGTGGCAGTGTTAACATGGCACTTAAAACCCTGAGAGAGAACTCATCCTTCATTCAGTTTTCCCTGATTCAGCAAAATCTCCAGATTCAGCAAAACCAAATCAAAACCAAGGAAGATTTTTTTGTAGATGATATTAAGTTCATTCTAAAACGTATACTGAGCGATCATTTTGTAGTTCATAAGCATGATGATTGAGTGTTCATGCTGTTGTGTGAGATGTGGCTCCCTCAAACCTTGTTACATCGGCACATCACCCATTTGACGCAAATAAATAAATAGATAGATAGATAGATAGATAGATAGATAGATAGATAAATAAATAAATCTTATACAGAAAGGCAAAGAAACTAGACTACAAACAATTTTGAAAAGAACATTGTTGGACTCATACCTCCTAATTTCAAGAATTACTCTAAGGACAGAGTTACTGCAAGATAGCAAAATACTGACAAAAGGGTAGGAACATATGTAAATGGAAACTGCCCCACAAAAATATGGTCAGTTGATTTTTTATAAAGGTGCAAATGCGATTAAAGGTTGATCTTTTTTTAACAAATGAACAATTACATACCTAAATGCCAATAAAATTAACCTTGACCCATCCCTCATACCATAAACAAAAATTAATCCCAAATGGATTATACACCTAAATATGAAACAACTATAATACTGCTAGAAGAAAACAGGAAAAAAATCTCTGTTGTCTTGAGTTAGGCAGAGTTCTCAGATACAATACCAAAAATACAGTCCACAGAAGCAAAAACTGATAACTTGTACTTCATCAGTATTTAAAACTTCTACAAAAGGCAGTTGAAAGCATTAAAAAAAAAAATTGCTAATCACATATCTGATAAAGGACCTATATTTAGAATATGCACGATACTGTCAAAACCATAAGAAAACAAGCCAATAAAAATATGGGCAAAAAATTTAAACAGGTATTTTACCAAATTAGATATATGAATGGCAAATAGATACATGAAAAGATGCTCAACATCATCAATTATTAGATAAATGCATATTAAAACCACAGAGAGAGACCACACTTATCAGAATTTTTTTTAATGACAATATCAAGTGCTGGTGAAAATGCAACTGGAACTCAGACATTGATGGCAGAAGTACAAAAAAGGTAAGGACCATTTGTGCAAAAAATGTTGGCAGTTTCTTAAAAAGTTAGACATATAATTACCATATGACCCAGTAATGTCATTCTTAGATAATTACTCAGTGAAACAAAGACTTAAGTTCACACAACAATCTGTATAAGAATATTTTTATAGCTTAATTGATAATTACCCCAAACTGGAGATATCCATGATACATTTAAATTAGTGGGTGGATAAACAAACTGGGACCTCCATACAGTAAATACTATTCAGACTTAAAAAAGAATAAGCTAGTAACACAACACTAATAACAATCTAGACATTATAATGAGTGAAAGAAATCAGCCTCAAAAGGTTTCATACTGATTCCATTTATATGGAAAATGCAAAACTATAGGAATGGAAAACAGATCTGTGGTTACCAGAGATTGTCAGTGAGAAGAGCTGACGACAAAGGAAGAACATTAGGGCATCTTTTGAGGTAATGAAACTTTCTGTACCTTTATTGTGGTGGTTTTCAAAAATTATAGAACCGTACACCAAAAAGAATGAATTTTATTGTTTGTAAATTAAATAATTTTTAAGTGAAATATAGCTGCTGTACAATAAAACATTTCACATTTGGAATTATTCAATTCACAGCTTCTTCTGTACTGAAAACTCCAAAAGGACAGGTCCTCAGATAACATCGTTTAATAGCATTTTGTAATAACATTGATGAGACGCTGTAGGAACTTAACTCTTGTTGATATCAATTAGCCTATGATAAAATTGATTTCATTAGACATCATTTTGCTTAAAGTCTCAGAACCTGTCAACAACGTTAAATGAGAACTTTCTGTACTTTATTTCAACACTAAGAATTTCTAGCCCAAGGACATGCAGCTACCCTTCTCTCCTTAATTGCTCTGAGATCTCATGTGAGCCAGAGCTGACTTCCTCAAGGATTAGAAGCCACATGAAGAGAGTGGTTCAGCCAGCCCCAGCTGACCACCAGTACCAGATGTGTGGATGAGGCCAGTAGGACCATCCAGCCGCAGTCAAACCACCAGCTGGTTACAGATATGTAAGTGACACCAAGTGAGACTAGCAAAACTGCCCACTGAATCCAATCCAAATTGCTGATACACAGAGGGAGTCATGAGCAAATAAAAAGTTTGCTGGTTTAACCACCATGTTTTTGGGTGGTTTGTTAAGACAGCGTTGGATAACTGATTCGATATCATCCATGGAGGAGGGAAATTATATTGGGCTCACCCTTCCCCCCTAAATTTTTCTCTATTTTAGAGATGTTACAGGAAATCCTTTGGTTTCTGAAAGAAAAAAACAAAAAATGAAAAAAACATATTAATAGCTCATTCCCAGAGGTTTCTATTAGGTGGTATTTTCCTGCCTGAAGCCCAAGTAATGTATTATGTTGGTCATATATACAGTAATGTGTTCATCCCTTGTAGTTATGTTTTAAGAGAAATGTTCAGAAATTAGTGCACAGAGAACATCAAAGATGAAAGTGAGAGGGCTGGAGTAACCAATATTTCATAGGTGACAGAGAGACTAAATGGGGTCATTGCGGCTGTTTTTAAATATCTGATGGGCTTTTTAAAACCCTGTGTTGTTTCAAAGCCAGAAATTGGATTAATATGTAGATGTTGAAGGAAGAAATATTTCAGACTTAATATTAAGAAAGAATTCTTTCATGAGAGCTGATCAAAAATGAGCTGTGCTGCCTCAAAAATCAGTGAGGTGACTATCATTAGGAATGTACAAACAAGCTGAATGGTTACATCTTAGAGATATTTTCTGTACTGAGTGTGCAGGTGATTCCTATACAGAGTAAGACACTACTGGATAATTTTTGATTTCCTTCAAACTCTGAATTTTTAAAATTATTTGGCGTCACAAGATTCATAGCCATGTTTTAAAACTTGGACTTTTTAAACTTGCTGTCCTTTTAACTGAGATTTTCCAGATACGCCCTGATGCAGGTAGCCAAACAGTTGTTTTCTCTCATAATCTGTAGGATTGGGAACTTATTTTGATAACTGAATCCAAACAAGCTGGAAATATTTTCTCTCTCCTGTTTACAGCTTGTGAAGTGACCATGCACCAGAGATTGTTTCAAAGTATGGAGATAAACAAGTCACATCCAGTCTGCCCTGCTCTGGCAAACAATTTCGTGGTATGTGACTGTGCAGTTGCACAGGGTTTCATACTTAGTTTATTGATCTGCTATCACCATTTTAAAATTCTTAATGATTTATGAAGAAGGGCCCCACAAATTCTGTAGTCAGTCCTGACTACTACAGTCTTTATCTGTAGTTCCTTACCACTCACTCACTCCTTGTTATTTTGTACTTTTGACTTTTGCCTTTACTGTGGAATAAGATCTCTCAAGTCATCTACTGACTAATGGCCGATCCCCTTAATCCTCATCCATTTTAATCTACCTAGAGCATCTGACATTGTGGACAGACCATACCTTTACTTCCCTATTTGGTTTCTATGATTTTATGTGAGTACAGTTTTCTTCTTAACTCCTGAACTTGTTTGATAAAGCCAAGCAGAATAAGGAAATGAAGTAAATAGTCCTAACACATGCCTCAGGTGTTTTCTTTCTCCAGAAAGGGTCCATACTCTATCCACCAGGATATATTAGTACTCTCTTATTTTCGCAGGGTTAGTGTCAAAATGATTTCCAAATTAATAAGGCTGAACTACAGTCCTACTGGTTGGTTTTACAAATCATATATAGAGTTTTCTGTTGTTGTTTTGTTTTGCTTTTCTTAATACAACAATGAAGTGAAGAACATACCCAGGGGTTAATCAGTTGAATATATAAATGGTCGTAAATTTCCTCCAGTCTCCTTCACAAAATAATCAATGACGCTAAAAAGGTTTGGGAGTGTTACCTGTATAAAGAGAGGGTGAGAGAAAGCTCAGTGTCATCTGTGTAAAGATAGAAGTAGAGCTCAACTGAAATTTAATGGAGATTACTGACCTCTAGAAAATTGTATCAATACCTCACTTCAATGGCTTACTGAATGGTTTTACCTATCCTTGCACTTTTTCCTCCTTTCTAACCATATTCATTTCCTGTTGAGAAATTACCCATTTCCCATTTTATACCTTTTGGTGGACCATAATCAGGCACTCTACTTTTCCGTAATTATTGCATGAGGATATGACTCAAGTTAGGCTAGAAAATGCTCCCTTCCTGAAACTGATCTTGAGTAGAGGAGCAAAGAAGAATAGCAGATTTCTAATCAGGGGGTTTTTACTATAACTACTGCTTTCTCATCCCTAAAGGTTTTCTAGCCTTTCAGTCATGCTATGTGTTTCCTATGTTCTTGAATTTATTTTTGCTTAAGTTAGCTATAGTTGGTTTCTTCTGTTTGAAACTAATAGAGAAATAAGCATTTTAATATTTCATCATAATAGTATAATTTGCTTATCTAGGAGTAACTGAAATACATTGCTACTCCAATATTTTTATACAAGTAAAATCAGGTTAAAACTGAATATCCCTGGTAACCTTGAAGAGGGGAAAAAATTCACAAAATGACAAGCCGGTTGAAGGGTAGGGTTGGGGAGAGTGAAAGGTGAAATAATAATCCAGGCTGTTATAGCTTTCCTTACACTGGGGGCCGTTTGTGCTAATGACAGATATATGAGCCACAGTTCACCATTTACAGAGGCACATTTTTCTTCCCTGACCATTGTTTCCAGTCATTTAGTTATTTGGGTTACCCTTCGGCAATCTAGTTCTCTGTTTTCTTCATTAGAAATTTTGGAAAATCCCAGTCAGGCGTGGACATGAGAGTGGAGATGCTCTGGGAGGCAATTTATGGTGAAGGTTTAAGTGGAGTATATGAATCAGCAGCTGCCCTGCTCTTGGCAAAGGTCACTACCAAACTCTAAAGGCTATGGTCGAAACATTAAAAATTCCACCATACTGACTCTTTCTCTATTTGATCAACACAGTTTTCCTGAACAGGCGGAAGAAGTAGGAGCTCAATTTAGAAAAGATCATATCAATATCTTCAAGACCCAGAGGTTTCATTTAAGTGATATTACTTTCCCAGCCCAGTCTTCTAACCACTGCAGCCAAAGATCACAGGGCTGTCCTCCCTTTTTCCAGCATCCTGGACCATAGGCCACATTACTACACTTCCATTGGTTGAGACCAGTGTAAATACCAGTCTTCCCACCTGTTTAACAGGCATTACTTCAAGACAATGATAAAGATTAAATTAGATGGTGTATCTAAAGTACCAACTCTGTGCCTAACACAATATTTAGTGGTTATAATATTATATCTTCAGCATCATGATAAGTTGGTTGGGATGGGAGAGGGGTTGCAGACAAGGATGAAATCTTTTCTTCACTATTATGTTGCTAATAAAAGGAGGGATTTCTGAACTTCTGCATGGCTTATATTAGAGAACTAAGCATTCACAGATTTTTTTTCCCCATTAGAAATAAGCACACTGAAATACTTAGCTTGGGGGATATAAAACAACTACTTAACAAAGATAGTCTTCTCTCCCTGAAACAACTATATTGATAAAGATTTACAGAGAAAGGAAAGTGTAAAGAATTATTACCAGATTATCTTCTACTCTGCCTCCTCCATGGGTTTTTGCATCTCACTTCTCACCCTGGATACCTACACTATGTTCCCAGGCAAGGAGTCTGGGAACTACCTTTCTTTGTATTCTGTAAGGCAGGTTTGGAAGGAAGCAAAAGAAAATTCATCGACAAGGAAATAGCCACTTACAGGTTTTTCCAGTTCAATAGTGTAGTTTTTTCCTATGCTCATCACTTTGTAGTGCTTGATTCTTGGCATGCTAAAATGAAAAAAAAAAGAAAAGAAAAAAAGAAAAAAAAGGTTAATCTCTATTTGAGTATACTATTGGGTCAAATCAAACTAAAGTGAGTATAAAATATCACCCATATAGTAAAATCTGTGTTTCAATGACTGTGGCTTGGGGGGATAAAAAGATTTTTGCATTTTTCTATTTAACTGGTTCTGTTTCTTTATAGGAGGTTATACACTGTGTAGGAAATCTGGGTTGTTGAGTGGGTCAATGAGGGATAAATAAAGATATCAAGAACTGAAAATCCTTCAGGCAGAAATGTTTTTAAATGCTGGTAATTTACAAAGTAGACAACATTATAAAACCCTAGGTGGGCATATACAGATCAAAAAGTAGAGAGAATTACTGGAAGCATATTACTTTCTATTGCACCTCATCACTCCAGTCAGAAAGTCCTCAGTGGTTGTTCTTCCTGCTGGCTTATACACCACCTGGGATATCTGCTAACTTCAGGGTTGACTTAGAGATCTGGAAAATGCTAGGTGTTAGGTACTGTATGAACACTTAGGTGGGAATGTAAGTTCAGTGGATGAATCTTAATATCTTCTTCTATAGTCACATAGCACTCTAAATTAATATTACCCTAAACTTGTGATATTTATTTAACTATCAACTGCTTAAGAACAAGAAGCACATTCTATTCACCTTTGTATTCTAGCATCGGGCACACAATAAATGTTTATGAAACTGAATTTTAAAACTTTAGGAGTCTATCTCATAGTGCTAGTTGCTAGAACTAATTTATACCGAGAGTGTAAGTCAGTGTCCCTGCCAGTTAGTTCTGAAAAGCATGTTTGCCTTGCATTCCCTTGATTTATATGACAATAGGGCCAGAACCAAGACTTTTTCTAAAGTTGAAAAGTTATAGTATTTATTACACTGCCATTTGCTTGAAAAGACAAACTAATTTAACATCTGTCCCATTTACAGAAGCTGGCTAAAGCAAAATTGTCTATCAGGTTAAACTTGTCTACAGGGCCTCCCACCTTCTTTTTCATTGCTCCTCTCTTCATTTCCAGGTCACATTTCTCTAGGACTGAACTACACTTTTGTTCAAGGGACTCTCTCCTCATCTACTGTTATAGCCAAATCTTCTCTCAATTGGATATAATGTTGGAAAACAGCTAGTAATGTTATTCCAATGACTTATTCTAGAGCTTACTTTCAACACATGGATAAACACTGACCTCTCGCACCTCTCCTAAAAAAAAAAAGAAAAGAAAAGAAAAGAAATAGAAAGTATTTCTTAATGCTAAACTTTCAGGAATAACTTACAGACTGGTGATGGAAATGCATTTTTGGACAGAGGGGATCTTTGGGGTGGTTGGCTATGGCTTTATCTTATCCCTCAATGAAAACACCTTTATAATTATTGTTATTTCTGAAAACTCTCACCTATTCCAACTAGAATTCCTATATTCTTATGAAATAACTGGCTGTTATTCCTTGAAAGACTGATAGAAAGCTTGAAGGGCATGGCCTTTTTAATAAGAAAGATCTAGGTTCATATTCTGGTTCTGTATTGTAGGTTCTCTGTACCTTTATCTCTTCATTTATAAAATGGAAATGATAATGCCTTTCCTCCCAAGACAGTTGTGAATTATGTTTGAAAAGTCCTTAGCACAGTGTCCGACACATTTAGACACTCAGTAAATTATAACTATTTTTTACTACTTTAAAATTCATTGTTTTAACTTAGTAGTTTCTGTAAGTCTCAGCTTCTTTATCTGTAAAACATGAAAAATACTATGTCAGTTTTTATTGTGCCTGAAAGAAATATTTGCCAAGCACTCAATACAGCACACACATAGTGCGCTATGAGCGGGGACAATCATTGTTGTTGTTAGTAGCCATCATATCATCAATATCAATATTATCATTCATAGCAAAGCTGTGGGAGGAAGAGTAGCAAAGGTTAACACGATCTCTTGGAACTTTTGACTAATAGGACCAACTTCTGAACAGAAAGTAAGCTAGAAAAAAAATTCCACTGAAGTCACAGGCTTTGACTCTCATTTTGGACCTTTGTTTTTCTTTCATATTTTTTTTATTTGTTTTTCCAAAGGAATAACAAGAGGGGTAGTGGGGGTGGGGGTAGAGTAAGATTGACAAAATTTGCTTTGTTGAAGTTTCCTGATTTTGTCCTGAAAAAAGAAGAAACTTGTCTTTTAAAAAGAATGTGTGGCCTTAAATGTGGTTATAAGTACTTGTTCTTAGGTTTTGACCCCAATTTTTGCAAAGGAATGAACTTGGGGTAAATATTTTCTACTGCTTCCTTGGCTACTGGCTTTCTAAAGTGTTTACACTGCTAACTTATCATGTAGTCAATAATTTTAAGAAAACCAAAGCATAAAGTTTGTTGTAAGAATAGCTCTGTCTTATGAATTCACACACCACTGGGCTGGGTAAAGGCGGATGATCCTTAACATCAAGAGAGGAGTCACCTGATTATTTGGCATTGAATGACTTTTTCTTCTTCCTGGGAACTATAATCTTTCCTCCCACAGCTGATTTATTAACAGATGGAGATAATTTTACTTTCATGCTATTTTGTAAACTAACTTGTCCTTTCAGCTAGTGTTTTACCAGACACACTGATCTAAATGTGAATGGCTGAACATTTCTCCCACAGCCTGTAAGAGAATGAATTGGTTTTGGGGGTGACACAGGTGCTTCCTAGATTTCTGCCAAGTCTTTACATTAAGCTCTGCAGGCTAACAAGCTAAATTTCTACTACTCTCTATAATTGCTGACCTTTAAAATTAAGTGATCTGTTAAATAGAAGATATTAAATCCAGGCATTCTAAAGGACTTGTTTTGAGGCCTTAGAGAACACATGTAACTATACTTAACATTATAGTTATATCTGGCTTTTTATAAGGAAAATTTGTACAATAACAGCTAAAAATTTTTAGACCAGTTTCATGTTATAAACTACGCCCCCAGATCTATATAAGCTATATAAGCTTATAATGACTGCAGTGTTAGAATGCTCGACTTTGATCTTTCCGCCTTGCCTCTTGCCTTCTCCATAAAAGCTTGGAGGCCGGGGGATGATTAGTTTTGTAAAATATTATAGTTTTGTGACCATCTGCTGTACAAAGTATGAGCTTCTATATGAATTCAAATTGGCAATGAGTATACCAAAATTAGAATTGCATAACTTTGAAATGAACTTCTTTGCCAGACTCTTTCTTCTGAATTTAAATACAAAACAAATATAACCAAAAACTATGACATTTAACTTATATCCTAAGTATAGAAACTGCTTGTGTTTAGTCCAAAACCACATCTACAGCAGAGAACACTGTTATTTCTCATAGCTTGCTTATACACAATGCAAAACACAATGCAAAAGCTGAGCTCATTTAGACTCAAAAGAAATCTGGCTGCTGTTGTGCAGGAAATACACAGTCTTTAAAGAGCCATTAGGTCTCAGGGTTTTGTTTCAAGCAGAATAGTAACATAGAGTTCATATGCAAATAGATCAAACACTCAATCCAACCAAGAAAAAAATAATGTGTAACAAAAAATTAATCATTCTCTTGTGTGATCTAGTTTACATTTCAAGCAGTTAGATGGTTTCTTTTTAAAAAATTGGCAAGATAAATTTTAATTCATTTTTATATATTCTTATTTTTTTCAAGTAGAAGTAAAGAGTTAAAGACATTCTATATTTATGTGATAATAAATTTCTTAAATTTTGAAAAAGGACAATCTCCTTGCTCAAGATATGCTAAGCAGAAAAATCCACTTTTCTCTCAGGAATTCTATGTTCACCGATATTTAATGGTCATCATTATTTTTATTTATGTTGGATTTGTTTCAAGATAGCAAATTAAATTATAAATCAAATAAATTATAACTGAATAATCTATGATATTCTACCATGTTAGTTGAAAATTATTAACTCCTATAATAAACAGAAAAAATAATGAAACTAAAAGGTTAAGTTGACATAGATATTCATTGTGAAAACATACATACACACAGATTCTCTTACTTCACACACAAAATCAGGATCTGATTTACCATCTAACATTCTTGCCATCTATTCAGTGTACATGGCTAGTGTATAAAGACATTCATACAGAATAATTGGCGAGTGAATCAAGCTAATTAGAACCAAGGCTCATACTAGCAATGCAGCCATTATGCCATAATTTTAATTTTTCCTGTAAGTGATTTTTCTTACTGTCTTATTCATTATCAATGTCTTCAAATTTAATCTATTTAGAAGCATTGACATTTATGGTGGATTGGTAGATTCACTGATAAATGTTATCATTAAAAATTTAATAAAATATTATCCTCAGAAAAAATAGATTCAAGAATCAATTTCTATTTATGCTTTTATAGAAAAAATAATCATCTATTGGATATTTTCATATGGGACAAAAACCTCTACATGTTAATTATATTATCAGTTGTGAAAATGTTAACTATGCCAGAGCCCCTATTGAAATGCAAGTTTTCATAGATTCTGAGAGTTGAAGTGAATCTTAAAAGATCCAACCACCCTAGTTACACAGAAAAATCAACATTTGCATGTAAATGTTACTGACTATACCAAACATAAACCATTTTACCAGAAAGACATTATTAACTTTGACAAGAGGTTCTTAAATGGTCCTTTCTATAGATACATCAGATTATGCCACTTCTTTACTCATCACAGTCCAGTGGCCCCCATGGTATTTCGAGTAAAACTCTTGTCCCAGAACGACATGTAGGGTCAAGAGCAGGTGTCCCCAACCCCCAAGGCTGCGCATGGATACCGGTGTGTGGCCTGTTAGGAACAGGCTGCACAGCAGAAAGTGAGCAGCAGGCAAGCCAGCGAAGCTTCATCTGTATTTGCAGCCACTCCCCAGTGCTAGCTAGCATCACCGTCTCAGCTCCACCTCAGATCATCAGGCACTAGATTCTCATAGGAACAGCTGTCCCTGGTGCCAAAAGATGGGGACTGCTGGTTAGAGGGATCAGTCGAGATGCTCACCTCTGGAATCTCATCTCTTACCACTTTCTCTTAGCTCACTCTATTGCAGTCACAGAGGCCTCTCTTTGTTTCTTGAACAAATCAGGCCTTCCTCTGCCTCTGGGCATATGGCCTTGCACCTGGAATGCTCTTGTCCCAGGTATTGGCATTGTTTGTTCCCTCGCTTCCTTCAGGTTTCTGCTTAAATGTCTGTTAATAAAGTAGGCCTTCCCTCAGGACTCTATATTAAAACAACCACAGCAACCCCCACCAAAAAAAGTTCTCTATTTATTACCTCTGAAAGTTCCTATCTCTCTCATCTTTCTTTATTTTATTTCCATAGACCTTATTATCGAATAGATGACATTTTTCATTATGTATTTATTTAGAGTCTGTGTCTCCTTATAAGTATGTAAATGTCCTTAAACCAGGGATGTTGTTTTGTTCACTGCTGTATCCTCAGTACCTAGAACCACAATAGTTGCTCAATAAATATTTGTTAGAATGAATGAATGAACAAATAGAACTATATCCAGGACCAAAGTAATTTGTTCATTCTTCTTCCCTACTTCAGGTATTAGCCTTGGCTCAGTCTTTACTATTGCTTATATAACATTCCCTCCCTGTTCTTGTATTTATACTGTTAGTCCCAATAAAACACATAGCAGATGCTGATACAAACTTGTATGACATTGCTTTATGAAGTGATATCATGCTTTTAACAATCCCATATGTTCTTTAATTAAACGTACTCTATCTCCTGCCGGATCGTGATGGAGAAGTTTCTACTGTCACTACCAGGCCTCAGGATCATATTTCCCGAGGAAGGATTCTTCTCAAGCATCTCAGTTGCTTCTTTCCGGGACACTGTATAAAAACATCTACAGAGGTGAGATAAAAAAAAATTTTTTTCTTAACTGATGGAGCTCATTACTTGAAAAAATGCTGCTAAAATTACTTCAAGAACTGCAGTTATTAAATTTCTTAAAATTCCTAGCTTTATTATTATAATTACAATGATAAAATTATAACTACTATTATTATAAGCCTGCACCACTACGACTATGCTTATGCTTAAGGCCCTCCTGCCCCCACCTCTCCAAAGCCTCCTTCTTTAACCAAAGAGGACCTGAAAAGTTATCTACTGATCAGTATATAATCACCATAACCATTTAAAAATCTAAGACAAGAATTAATAGTGTATAGTTTATAATAGGCTCTTAGATAAATAATATTTGTCTAAAGATACACGCTTCTTTTGTATCTTTTCTCTTTTAAATAACTCATATTTAAGAGTATGCCTGAATTCAATTCTTTTGGTATAATACGACTTTCTTAAGAAAGTGCTTTTCTCAGTTTTTTAGTAAATATTGTAATCAGTGAAATATATAATCACAGAAAAATATGTGGCAGGATATGCAATACACCAAAATATTAACAGCAAATATCTCTGAGTTGTGGGACAAGGAATGATTTTAGTCTTCTTTTAAGTTATCCATAGTAAACATATGTTACTGGTTTTATTGAGCAAAAAAGAAGCAGTCTATGACTTTTAACCTATCAGTTCATCAGTCGTCACTGGTTTCAGCTAAGAGTTATGGTTGGCAGTTTTCAGTGATTATAGAACAGATAGAATATGTATCAGAACCTGATGTCGCAGATGGTACCAGGACAAGTTTCACTGATGAGAACTTTACCAAGATTCTAAGAAGGAAGGGTTCATAGTTTTAAGTCACACTTTTGAGTAAAAACAGATGCAGGGTGTTACTGAATTCAGTATGTTCTATGCCTTTTCATTTTTCCAATACCTTACACACTTTTCACAAGGCCTTTCTCAAACTACAAACTCAATAACTACTCATTGATTGACTGAACAACAGGATAGAGCATTTAGTCATTTTTAATTCTTTGGTATAATTTTCTGATAGAAAATCAGTCAATCAGAGTGTTGCACGGTGAAAAAATATCGTTTCCTTCCTTCCTCATAGCAGTTTTTATTTAGGTTTGAGCTTTGGAAAGACTATCTGTTCGGTGTAAAGGTGTGAGTGGAAGGGGATTTCCTGTGTGGTAAGAGGGTTGGTTCAATTTTGCATTTTGTATTTTGTTGATTATGACATAGAAGAGGAAATGTGGCATCTCAGAGATATGCTGCTTATCCACAAGAGAGCTTATGGCCTCTGTCTTAACAAAGTCAATGACTAACTCTCCTTAATCATTAGAAAATAATATTAACAATCTAATAAATAAACTGGAGTTCATGGTGCACTTACGCTGGCATAGGGTTTAGTACATCCACATAATCTTCGATTGGTTCTGTTTCTTTTTCCAGAGATGTACTTGGTAGTCGCTCTGTCTCAATCCTCCTTTTCTTTTCTCTCTCTAAGACTTCATGCAGTCTAATTACTTGCCCAGGAAGGAGTGACACATGTTGGGGAACCGACAGCTAAAACCAATTAAAATAGTAGGCAAAATACTAATTAATTTTAGCAACGATGAGTCTGTTCTGGTCCTAAGGAACTTTGGTTACCTAACAGAGATAGATGGGTAGAATCACGAGTAGAGGATCTTGGTATCGGGTAGGTGTCCTAGAACAGCCTCTGAACCAAACTACAGCCTGCACAGGATGCCCAATCTTCTTTCAAGAAGTTTCTTTTGGTCTGGCCTCAAAGCAAAATACACCCATCTTGCACTACTGACTAATTCAAGTAACAACAGACTTCTCATTTTTTTCATTCTGAGTTTACTAGTTCACTGCCGGGGAAGTCTCAGAGCACCTGCAAGGTGCCAAGTTCTTCCTCAAGTAACCTAGAATTAGCTCCACCAACCATATGGTAACATGGTGTTGAGATGGCACTATTTATTAAAAGACTGAGAATCAGCAATCAGAGGTTTATATTTTGGTGTGTTTGTGTGTATGTTTCAAAGTTTTATTCATACATTAGGATTATGATACTGCTCTACTTACTACAGTTTTTTTTTTTTAACCTTTTCTAGAGATATGTTTTGGATTGAGTAATCTATGCCCTCCTAGTCTATACATATACTCCTGATTTAGACCTCATTATGACCAGCGATGTCTTCTTGGAAGGTGTAATCTGAACAATAGAATTTTTTTTTTTATGTCACACTACCTGGCCTGCATTTTGTGGCAGCTATGTCTGATTAACATCTTGATCTCCAGAGTAGGATGCATGCTTTTCATGGGGTATATAAGAAAATCCACTGAAGTATGGGAAGAAAACACTAGAACTTCATTTTCTATTTATTATCTAATTAATTTATATTATTGTTTATATTTTAAAACACATGTGCGTACATGTATATAAAATTTGAAATAAAAAATTACTACTAAGGGCACAAAATCAAAAAGGTTTAGAGACTATTCTTCTGGATAATTAAGCTAACTAATAATCAGTAAGGCCATTTTCTTATATACCAGTCCAGAAAAAAAAATAATAAAATGAGGAAAAAATATTTATTAATTGCCTACTATGTCCTAACTATTGTGTTATTGCAAATCCTCACAACAATGCTACAAGATAGGTAATATCTCGGCTTTACAAAGAAAAAAAAAAGGCTCAAAAAGATTAAATAACTAGTCCAGGGTCACATGGCTAGTAAGTTGTGAAACCAAGACTCAAACTCCATTTTCTTTCATTCAAAAACAATGTTCCAGCTCTTTCAACTATAGTCTATGTTTCTCAAATTTCTACTAAATTTCTCCTAACAGTGGCATGATGTAAATGTATACACAGAGCGATCTGGGATCCTTGTGCAAAAACTTTTATGGAAGCACAAAATTTAAGGCAACTTGTCTTCTCTTGGAAATTCACATAAATTTTATTTTATATTTTGTAACATGCCAATGTATATTTTAATTTTAAAATAATTTTTTTTATCCTTTCCTCAAGGAAAAAGCTGAAAACAAAATTTGGGGGCCAGAACATCAGGTATAATTAGTGTACCAGAAAAATGCACCCTGAGGTCTTTCCAGTGGTTTTAGTGTACTCCTTGACACCGGCTCCAATACCATTGGGACATTTGTGTAATGCCGTGGCACGCAACGCTGCCTTTCCACAACAGAGGAGGAGAACACAATTCCTCTAAGAGTTTCTCCCTTTCTCCAAGTCAGCATGTCTTTCACATCTTTAACTGGCCCACTTTTTAAGCCACCTCTGACTTATCCACACGATAGTTGAACCTTCAACTTTTACATGTTATTGACTGAGATAACCAGAATCCATCACTCAGTAAGGTGCAGTGCTTACTTCATGTGAATGCAAAGACTACTTACGAACTAGTTTTGGTAGATAGAGTCTGAATTTAACTGACTCTAATAAACCTAGAAAGTTTTCTTATCTTCTCAAAGTGTTAGAGAACCTGGTGCTATTTTAGGGGCTAGTTATCAAAGTACCTCATGTTTCAAAGACAGTCGCTACAGTGGTTTTATTTTAAATAATAGTAGTTATCTTGTTATAACAGTTAACCATAAGCAGTAGATCTTATTATAGATTTCTGATAAGATGCCACAGAGTTGAACAGATAAGCATCCCTTTGTCTTAAGACTCACTAAACAATCATTTAAAGGAGAGTTTTAATTTGATGATCCTTCCCTGAAATATTATTTATGTTATTCATAAAATCCATCTCCATTTTATAAATGTATATTGAATATATAAGAATGAAATTGGAAGTATTTTAGAGGATGCTATGTAAGTTACAAATACCAGAATATACAAAGGATGACTGTGTCACAAGTAGATCTCCCTGACCACTTGTTATTTGGTAGCTAGCTAGCACATTGCCCTGTTTATTTTCTTTATAACGATTATCACAATTTTAAATTACATTGTTTACTTATTTATTTTATTTTTCCTCTCCATCCCCTGATAAAAATATAAATTTCATGAGTAAGTATGAAGATTTGTGTCTCTTTTTCAATTGCTATATCTTCAACCCCTTTCACTCTGCATGGTTCATAGTAAGTGTTCAGTAAATATTTGTTGAATGAATGAATCGATCAAAAGTAATGTCCTTCTTACCTCTGTTACTGTTAGAATGAAGCCTCTCCATTCTTCTCCACTTTCTGTGTTCTCTGTCTAAAGATGAAGAAAAAAAACAAAAACAAAGAAGAAAAGACATGAATGACTATGAACATTAATATTTTTATTAACTTCAAATAACTTCAGAATTTTATGATTATTTTATAATACTCAAAATATGTAAGCCATCAAAAACCAGCAAGATGGACAAAATGTATATTCTTCTACTGAAGCACATTGTTTCAAAAAGTCAATAGTAATTTTTTAAATCATTTAGAATCAGTCGAAAGGAAGAAACAATTCATTTTTCTTTTTGCTTAGAACTATTAATGTATTTGTTATGAAATATTTTAATACTGTTCTCTTTTGTCAGAAGACAGAAATATATAATTTTAATCTGCTTACTAAACAAGTAAAATCATACAAATTTACTTAACTCAAAAAACTCAAATGTTAGCACACTTATTTCTGCAATATGTCAACTCATGGTCCCTCCATTGGTATTTAACACTGACTGGCTTTAAGTTTGGGACAATCAGGTAGAACCAACGTAGTCAGTCCTTAGAAATTTTCAGTTCTTAGCTCCAAAAACTACTAATACTGCTAACATTTGTTAAATGCTTATAAGTGACAGCTACTATTTAAGCACTTCACTTGTATTAACTGATTTAATTGTCATGGCAACTCTGCAAACGGTAATTTTATTTTTTTATTTTACAGATTTATTGATTTAACAGATATTTATTGATTGCCTTTTAGTGCTAGACACTATTCTAGGTACTGATTTACACTGGAGAACAAAACAAAAATACTTATTTTCATGGAGTTTAAGGTCTAGCAAGAAATAAACAACAAACATAATAGTAAATTTTATAGTGTCAGAAGGAAATAAATGGGAAAATAAAATGTAGAGCAGAGTAAGAGATTGAGAATGCCATTAGGGGTTAGTAGAGGGGAAAAGGGTTACAATTTTAATGAAGTAGTCCAGGAAGATCTCAGTAAGAGGGTTATATCTGACAAGACTTACATTCAGGCAAAGAAACCAAAGCACGGAAATGTTAAGTAACTTGTCTACAATGACACAGCTAACAAATAAAACAGCCAGAATTCAACCTAGGCATCTGACTCCAATCTTGTGCTCTTAACCACCACACCAAATCATCTGAGGGCCTTGCTTATACATAGATTCTGGGGCCCAGGTTTATGGGGTGGGGCCTGGATTTCTAAGTACAAATGATTCCTAGTACACTAAAGCTTCATGACCAGTGTTTTCAAGGTCAGCTCCAACTATATCTTACTCAATTGCAAATCGCTCTCTTTGTTATTGCTGTAGTTGTTGGTTGACTTTAATTGGCTCACTTTGAATTCTGGGTGTTAACGTGGTGAGTTTTAACAAACAGATACTTGCGTGTGTCGAGTTTAATGCAATTAATAACATATTTTGCAAGTTGTGTATGTCTAAAAAACAGTTCTTGTTCAAATTTTTCTAATTGTCTCAATAATGTTCAGTAGAGCTTTGGGGTTTGTTTTGTTTATTGGTTCGTTTTTTTTTTTTCCTTTTCTGACTCAGGATCCAATCCGTATCACACATTGCATTTAGTTGTCATGACTCCATATTCTCCATAACTGGAATAAGCGTCCAGTCTTTGGCTTTTTTTACACTGCTATTTTTTAAGAGTATAGGCCAATTGCCTGGCAGAATGTCTCTCAATTTGTGAAATATGGGTTTCTCTAATTCAGTGGTTTCAAACATGTATCATGTTGGACATGTCTCAGAATCATCTGGGAACTTGGTCAATGCCAAGTTCTTGAATACCAATTCAAAGACAGCTTTTAAAAAACACCAGGTGGGATCTCTGACTTTGTCAGAGGGCAGAAGTACATGGTTTTAATGTGCTTGTATACTAAACAAGTGAAAATGTCCTTTTAAATCCCTCTTTAGAAAACCATAGTTCTTGCCAAAAAGTAAGAAATATCAACAAAGTATAGAACTTGACACTTCTATAATTCCTCTTTACTTCAGCCACTGAGCTATGAAAAGAGGTGAATGCTATTTATAACCACAACTTGTTTCAGACCAATTGCCTGTCCTCACTCACCTTCAGTTGCACTTCTTCTTTTGGCAAAACAATGGTGAATTTTGCACAATTCATTTCAGTTGAATTCTCCATAAGGCATGTGAGGTCTATTATGTCTAACTTGTCAACATACTGCAAAGATAAAAGGAAATCCCATTAAATTATTTCATGGGTAAATACATCAGTTTTAGTAGGAAGGAAAGTAAGTAATATTTTACTTTCAATTGATTTGTACTTTGCATGATATCCTGGTTTTCAGCGTGTCATCCCTTCTCAACCCAGAGGGCATTTGGAAGTGTATAATGTGGTGGTGTGCTAGAGCTGGCTCAAACAGGTTTGCAAAAAGTTGATTTGTTAAATTTTCAGGAATTTGCTAGCCAGTTGTTAAACACAGCTATTACTAAAAGTTAAATTGTATAAACACATAAGTAAATAACATATTAAAAAACAAAGATAAAGTTCTAAATTCATAATTTTCTAATTATATTACTACATAGTATTCTCTATGGTTTTAAGGCTTTTTACATCTTCGTTTCTGTGTGGTGGAAATACTATATAATGGTATATACATAATGGTACTATACAGCATTGTACCTTTCTTCTCACCTCCATTTTTAGTGAGTTCACATTGATAGGGTGAAATCAGTCTTGGCAGGAGTATTTCCACGGAAAACGGCAAACTTTACAAATTAGAGCTTGGTTTATTGTTTTGCTAATTGTTCCAGAGGTCAAAAATTTTTTTATGTAAAGGCAAAATAGTAAATGTTTTAGGCTTTGTGGACCACATATAATCTCTGCTGCAAATTCTTCTTCTTTTTATTTATTTATTTTTATTTTACAACACTTTATAAGCGTAAATAGATTTCTAGTTCAGAAACTGCAAAATCGGGACACAGGCTAGATTTGGCTCAAGGGCAATAGTTTGCTGGCTTTTGGTCTAGACTTAAGAAAATGAAGGAGAAAATGTTAACAATGCAGATGAAACTTGAAAGTTTGTTGTGTCTGAAGCTTTTTCATTTTGAAAAGAACAAAAAATTGACAAAATATTCTTTTATAATTCAAAAACTGTTATCTTAATCAGCAAAAAAATTGCTCATGTCATTAACAGCTAGGTGAAGTTCTCACATACATAATTGTTGTTTTACTTTCCTCTTATACATTAATGTAAACAAAAGCATTAGCCAATACTCATGTCAAATATCATATTTAATGACAATAAATTTATTAGGGAAACTACAGATTGAAAAACAACTCCCTTAGTCATATGATTAAATTGCAATCATAGTTGGCTATGGATACATGTTCAGAAAAATCAATAACAGCATTCTATGATAATCAATTACTTATATGAAAATTACAATAAAAAGTATTATGTATTTTATTTTTAACTGTGTGCCACACATTCATGTAAATATTTATAATAAATTTATATACATATATTCATATATACATTTTTTCCAGAAAGCTATTATTCAACATTTACCACATATAACTGGTTATGAGGATCCTATTAAGAAATTTCTATCTTATCCCAGTACGATAAAATTTTTTTTTTTTTGAGTAATTAGTCTATGTATATCGGTCTGTATACAACTGGCTAGACTTGCTCTCTAGTATTAGAAAGATTAAGACCACCTCTAGTAAAAGCATAGTAGGGTTTTATGACATAATTTTTTGTTAAACTAACCTCATTCTCGACTACTTTTTACCTCTTCTTTTTTCTTCTCTGTCATGCCCAGTAAATCTTATTTAACTGTGTTCTTGTAGGTTTCCTTATTTTATTTTTCTGAATAAAGTAAGACATAAAAATAATAAATAAAATTTTTCCCAGAACTATTCCCATATTGATGAGGTTGAGGGTGAGTTTGGGTTGATCTACTTATTTTCAATGAATAAAGAGCAATTAAACATGGAAAGAGAGATATAAGGGAAGGAGGACAGAATTTAAAATTAGACTAGAATCTTTTTCTGTTGGATTGTCTAGATCAAGCTCAGTGAATTTTGCCGAGACAAAGGAGGAAGCAATGGAGGAAGAAGTGGCCCAGTTAGATAGAGGGCCTGTAAACTGTACTATTGATTAGAAAAAAGGAAGTTATATCTTTTTGGTTTTAACTGTAGAATTGAAAGAGCCTTGAAATTCACCTGTCTAATCTAGCTGCCATCTGATGCTTGAATTTTCTTTAGGCTAACCCTCCATGTAGTCATCCAGCCTGCTTGAACATCTTAAACGGCATGGAACTCAAGCCTCCTATGAAGCTTTGCCTACTAGCAAGTTTATTCTTGTATTAAGCCACAGTTTTTCTCCAGACAATTTCCATCCATTGGTCCTAGTCCCTTTTCTCTGGAATAAGACTTAACAAATTCAGTGACTCTTTCACATGACTTCCTGACAACCTTTCAAATATTTAAAGCCAGTTTTAAATTCTTCCCTACTATAGGCTAAATGTTTACAGTTCTCACCTTCTCTGTCCTTGTATTTTCTTTTGAGATAATCACCCCAAAAATTTATTTCTCCAAAAGTCTGCATCTTCTTTTAACAAAATTGGTAGATGGGCAATTCTGTAGCATTTCAGTATAACAGTCTCTTAGCATAGCTGTTAAGAATGCTGGCTCAGAAACAAGACCTGCATTGTAACCCATTCATTAACTCTCTGATCTTGTACAATTTCTTAATCTTTAAACTTGACTGTTCTTATCTAAAAGTAGGGATTAAAATAGTACCCACTCTGCAGAGTTGTTGTGAAAGTTAAATGAGATAATGTATGTAAAATACATGAATATTTTCTATGTACTTTACCTTTACTATCTCATTTAATCCTTTAGATAACCTTATGAGATGGGTGACTGTTTTCATCCTAATTTTAGAGATTTGAAACTGAGTGTGTGATATCTTTCATTTGCATCTCTAGATTCAGTTTTATCCCTTCACCACCCAAAACTATGCACCAGGGGATGGACCAAATGGACAACATTGTGGGCACCCTTACCCTCTGATTTTCTGGGGGTTGGACTGCTGGTGATCAGAAGAGTTATAAGAGTAAAGTCAGGTATTTATTACCCTATGCAGTTGCTTCTTCAATCAAAAATCATTCTCTTCTCAAAGCAGTCATCTTCACACAACTCTCCCCACTATTCTCTCACTCTTATGGGGCATTGTTACTAGCCTCAGTTTCTGTACTATCCTTTGTGGTTTTCCAACATCCTGCCCACTGCTTTGAGTGTTGCATCTTTATTAAACTCTCTTTAAATGGCCCAATTTGAGATGTCATCTGTTTTCTACCAATTCCCTGTCCAATACACTGAGATACAGAGAGATTAGGTTGGTAGCCCAAGATCCCAAGCTAGCACAGTGGACAGTGGGAGGGCTAAGATAAAAACCCAGGTAGTCTACCTGAAGACTAAGCTTTCAGTCACTAAGCTGTACTGCCTCTTGCCATGTAGTAAGTGAGCAATAACCATTAACTCTCTCACTTACATGTTCATATGAAGTTTAGACCAGGGGCTTTAATTTTTTCCTGACATTAGTGGGCAGTGGGAAGGCACAGCAGAGGAATTACTTTTATTAAAATTAATTATGGTATTTGAAAACACTTTTATATAAATCTTGTCTATTCAGAACTCTGATGAAAGACGACCACTTTGTTTATTTTTTAAAATGGCTTTTGGTTAGTTTACCACTAATGGTGCTGAGATGCTTGCGGATGAAATACATTACATGGGCTCTTTTTCCATTTCTTTCATTAGATCTGGACATGTAATAATGATGTTGTAAGGAGTGTGGGCTGCTACATCCATGGGCCAAAATATTTTTATTTAAACAAGTTACTGGATCATAAAATCTCTTAAAAGTATAACATTCCAAGGTGGGCAAACATTTACTACTAAAATACTACATTTTATTTGTGGAAAAAATAAAATCCACAATCACTTTTCAATTTTTTTGTGTGGAAAAATTAAAATACAAGTCAATTATTTGAAATTAATACAAATAAATAAATCTCAGAATCTCTTTATTGTTATTTCCATGCTTGAGCTCTTAGAAGTCCTGCTTGGTGGGGTGTGTTTTTGTCTTTCTGGAAAAATTAAATTGTGACATATTGTATGTTATAAGGCTTTAAGGAATCCTTTAGTTCCTTTCAGATTATAAGTGCATGTGATAGCAGGATAAAAAGTGGGCGAAAGTAAGGCTATCACTTGGTGTTAGGTAATTTGTATCCAGATGTATAGCTAAAGATTTTATTATCAGGATAAGTAAGAAAAATGTAAAGTTAAAAATATGAGTTAATACTTTCTTCTGAGTTGCCTAGAAAATTTTATTATGGGCTTTATCATTGATAGCCTTCACAGATATAAGTGTTCTTATTTGAATTAGTTTTACTAGAACATCTTTACTCTTGGAAAACAGAAAATCCCAAATGAATAATGAAGTATATGACAAATGTATATTGGAAAAAAGTTAATGGGATGAACGTGTTTAACTACTTACTATTGTACTCTTTTTGTCGTTATAAAAGAAAAGTGTAGTTCCTCTCAACTCTGTCCAATAGTATTTATACTCCTGTGGGAAAGAAATCATACGCATCAGTGTATATTCGGCTATTTTCCTATTGGTCGTTTCCTTTGTAACTTCCCGAATTGCTGTGTGATATAAGATTCTTTATCCTGAGATTAATTGCTTAGTTTTTATGGCTTAATTTTATACTTCATTCTTGATTAAATCCTTTACAAATTTATTTTAGTGAAAGGTGTGAGGTAAGGAAGTAATTTGATTTGTTTTTAAATAGATTGTTTTCCAAAACGTTCCTCATTGATTGAAGACATTTAATTTTTATGCAGTTTCAGTGAAAGCTTGTACCCATAAAAGAGGGGCCATTTAAGGAGCCAGGATAGGACATAGGACAAGCATTTATTAACTACCTTCCAGGACAGTTGAAAGGATTGAATAAATTAATACATGTAAAACACATAGCGTAATACATGACTCATACTTTGGGTTCAACAAATGGTATATATTTATATAGATCAAGGAAATTGAGAATGATAAAAATAACACCATCAAAACTAAGCTTTGAAGTTCAAATTTCATTCATGTGGTGAATATTTCATTGTTAATACATTCACATTACTATGGTTTCTATAAAAATACAACTTTTTAAGTTTAAAAAATTTAAATAACCTAATCAGACTCTTATTTTACTTAAGTGAAAATTTATTTAAATAAAGAAAAGATTGTATTACAAAAGAATGGCAAGGGCATTTACAAAACAAAATCCTTTTACATCTAAAGACTTACCTACATACCCAGCTCTTCCTCAAAGTATATTAAAAAAAAATCCCAGTCAGTTTCATGGTCATGTTAATCATTCCTTCCCTTAGAGTTTAATAAGCTGAATTTTTGTAACATATTGAATTATCTGGACTTATATTGAGGATTAATGCAAGAAAATCACAAGAAAACATTTTTTCTTTTGCTTATAAATGTGAAGATACTTTTATATATTATGGTATTTTGTGTCTCTTTAATACTGACATATCATTTATTCCTTTTTGCCCAGTAAAATGTTTGTTACCTCTTCAGAATTTATATACTTATTTTCTCAAATAATGAGAACTCTATAATCCATTGCTTTTATTTGCCTTGGCTACTAGGAAGCTCAAGATTAAAATCATTCTGAATTAAAACACCTGTTTTTCTCATATTCTAAGTAGAACTGTTTTCTCCCTTTGTATTCATGGCTGATAAGGTGCTATATTAGCTAGCTTTTGCTGTGTAACAAGCCACCCTAAAACTTAATGGACTAAAAACAGCAAATATTTTCTATTTTTGACATTCTATGTTGGTGGATGATTTTTTTGGATCTGGGTAATACTTGTCTGTGGCTGAATGGTCCAGTGTGGCCTCATTCACTTGCCTGGGGTCTTAGCTTGGGATGCAGAATGACTAGGAATGGTATAATAAGAAATATGTTTGGTCTTTGTCCCCAGTTTCTGGCATAGAGATCCTAAACTCTGAGTGTTAGGAGTGCTTTTATTACCCATAATAAGTCCCTTTATATCACATCTGTGTTTATAGTAATGAGGCAACTTAGAATTGGACCCATGAAGGGCTTCAGGATGGGTCTGATCCCCAAAAGAACAAATGATTATAGGGTTGGAACTTTCAGTCCTACCCACTGACCCCCCAGAAAGGAGTAGAGGTGGGGCTGAAGATTAAACTCTCGACCAGTGACATGTGATGAGCTTTCTAATTAGTGGACACATCCACATGGTGAGAGAGTGATGTGCCCCACCTCCACAGGAACAGAAGCACTTGTGCTTGGGAATTTTCCAGACCTTGCCTTATGTATCCCTTCACCTGGCTGTTCATTCGTATTCCTTACCAATACATGTAAGTAAAGTGTCTTCCTGAGTTTAACTCTCGACCAGTGACATGTGATGAGCTTTCTAATTAGTGGACACATCCACATGGTGAGAGAGTGATGTGCCCCACCTCCACAGGAACAGAAGCACTTGTGCTTGGGAATTTTCCAGACCTTGCCTTATGTATCCCTTCACCTGGCTGTTCATTCGTATTCCTTACCAATACATGTAAGTAAAGTGTCTTCCTGAGTTTTATGAGCCATTTTAGTAAATTGTTGAATCTTAGGAGGGGGTCATGAGAACCCTTGATTTATAGCCAGTAGGTCAGAAGAGACACTAGGGACTTGCAACTGGTGACCAAAGTGGGAGAGGCAGTCTTGTCATACTAAGCCCTTAATTAAGTTATAGGGTCGGCACTGAATCTGGGTAAGTCAGTAGTTTTAGAATTAAACTGAATTGTTCAACAATCAGTTAAACCAGAGAATCAGAGAACTGGCTATTGATATTGGAAAACACCCCATTGAAACAATTGGAGTCTCCCTCCACATGGTCTCATTCTCCAGCTAGCCCAGACTTGTTCACATGCTGGCAGAAAGATTTCCAGGAGCAAGAGAAGACAAAACCCATTGTGCGAGTACTTTTACATGCTCTGCTTTTGTCAATTTACCAAAGCATGACCCAGTCCATATTCAGTCGCTAGAAAACTAGACTCAACCTCTTTATGGAAGAAGCAGAAAAGCTCCCTTTCAAAAGAGAATGTGAGGTTTGAAAATGTTGGTAGTATTACTGCAGCAATTTACCTCAGAGGCACAGTTGGAAATTGGGGCAAGGTTTCTTTGCCCAAGACTTGTTGTTTTTCCATTCCATCCTACCTCCTCATTGAGAGCTGGCTATAATATAATGTAATGAACCTGCTGATACCTCCTGACCAAGAATGAATTACCACAGAAAAGAACAATTCAGAAGGGCATAGGATTGAAGGAACAGCCAATAAATGGTTGTGTAGTTTTACTGATGTATAACATCTAAGTTCAAGTTGAAATTCGAGACTCTAATTCTTGGAGGAGAGGAAAGCAAGAGAAAACACTGAAGTCAAAGTCTACTGCTCTGTTCATCTTTGTGGTTAGCCTCATTAGTATCAAGTTGTCATCAGGTAGAAAACCTAAAATCACTAATAGCCAGTGAAGATTAATAGAGTTCCTTTTGTGTGTACATACAGACATCCATCTGTGCTCCTGAGAAAAATTACAGGTGTTTAGTCATGACAAAATATGAATTGAATAAGGTTAACCAGGGAACAATGAGAGTTTTACTGATAAAAAAAAAAAAAAAACAAACATAAAGATCCATGAGGAAAAAAAAGATTCATGAAAAGAATTATGGAGGGTTTATTAAATGGGGAAGAAACAAGAACAAAGGCACTGAGTTGAAAGTAAAGGCGGCTTGGAGGAAAAATAAGATTACAAATAGCAATAGGCCCTATGAACTCCGACCACAGCCAAAAACCTAAGAACAGATCAAGCTTATATTCAGTATGTAGAGACATGTGGGTCACAGTCTTGATTTAGTTTCTGATAAGCGCTCATGAATATCAGTATAATTTGAGTCATCTATAAATATCCCTCTCAAAAATCAACAAGTAGGTGTATATTTATATCTACAGAAGTATGTAAATATTTTAAATGAAGTCCTTTTTGAATGAAATACATTTAGCATAAAGTTTTTTTTATTTTTTAGCAATTATTTATGTTGAATCACTGATGTAAGAAAGGGATTTATATGGGACTTTTGGATTTATTGCTAGTTTTATAATCACTAGATGACCTTGTATTTAGAGTTTAAGGTCAATATCTCATTTTCATTCAATTAAACAAATATTTTGCAAGTCTACTGAGCTCAGTGTGATAAAGAATCTAGTGAGCAGACATCCCCAAACTTTGGAATTCCACAACTCCCAAATGGAATCAGAATTTTAGTTTAAAATGAATTATGATGTCAAGTGCTTTGCAATAAAATTCAAGGTGCACTCCTTAATGGATGAGGAATATTGACCATAACCTCTGTGACCATATCATCTGTGAGAGGATAAAATAATTACTGTAGGGATCAGAGTGACAGGACATTTAGAACCTAGTGTGATATCTGCCATATCACACCTCAAGTAAATACACCCATTATTATATAGTCCATTTGATCATCACAGCAATTAATTTAGTTATGCCAGAGAGTAATTATTCATTTTAGAAAAGAGAAAACAGATTAAAATATTTAAAGGTCCATAGTTGGACTGATATTTGTATCTCTTGGCTCCCTAGTGCTCTTTCTCATAGATGTAAGTAGTAAAAATGGATTACAATGCAAAATCCAGTTAAGTGTCTCCTTATCCTTTGTTATCAATAAAAAGCTCCCATTCTTTTTTCTTGTGAGCACGTAAGGTACTTTTGCTTAAGGAAGGATGTTGTATAGTGATCTCCAAAGTGAAGCACATAAATCCAGAGGTGTGCAAGATAATTCCACTGGGAAAGAAACTTTAAAAATATCTAATTATATTTTATTTGTGTCATCTTTCTTGGTTTCTTTTTTGCATATATTTCATAATTTGCTTGGAGTATTAGTACAGAAATACACATGTATTTTCTAAATAAATTAATATTCTTGCATCAGAGATTTGTGTTCAAAAATGTTTTCTTGAAAGGATTGTTATTTTTTTAACATTAGAGATTATGAGCATAGAAAACTGTGTTTGAAAGCACAACTGAGCCCTGAAATTTTTCTAAATAAATTAGTGGCAATTAGAGGACTAATCAGAGAAATATTATTTTGATACTGTTATGATGACTACATTCTTATGCTTGAGCTAATAAGAAGACATACACATTGTTTTTGAAGTTTATTACACACAGATTGGAGAAACTGTGAGATGTTGCCTAAACTCAGGTTTCAAACAGTTCCAAAAAAATGAGAATTTCCCCATTTATAAGAACTGTGTTGCTATTCGTAACTCATTGTGACATTTAATAGCTCTCATTATCAAATAAGTCTTCCTGATTCATACAAAATTCTAATGCTGTGGTTTAAGTAAATTTTCCTACATTATCTTTTCCATGAAGAATATATACTTTTAATAGGTTCTTTATTTGAGATCTACTGACCTTCTGGAATTGCATTTTAAATGATGTATGTTGGCACACTTTCCTAGGGGGCAAAGCCCCTTAAGTTTTAAATGTGTTCTGCCACAAAAACAGCTAAGAAACACCTGTTAACCAGTAATCTCCTTATAGACCAGGTTACTCCTCAGTTATACATTCTCTAGCTTAAATGTTCTGAATTCCTTCAGTAGAGACTTCACTTAATGTTCTGCAGAGCCTCCCAACTTTCTCCAGCCCATTAGCTCCAAAGATGACCTGCTATATACTCTTGGCTCACCTTCCTCTCAAAAGTTCCCTGGCCTGGCACTTGGCGGCCGCTTGTCTAGAAATCACATTTTCTTTAGCTTTTTATCATAGCTTCTATTTTCAAGTACTTTATTACCGTGTCTCTCCTTTGAGCCACAATACTGTGGACTCAAAACTGATTTTAGTATGTTAATAATAATATGATAAATAATGAAATGGGAAGAGAATGAATCCAACCTTTGGTGTGAGTCAGGTGTTTTACATATGTTATCCCTTATAACCACCCTATTAGACATTACTGTCATCCTCTTGCTCTTTTCTCCCTGACATACAGGTAAAAGATACTTTGCTATGAATTCAAGTTGGAACACAAGTTAATTTCATCAGAAATATTTATGCCTATAGTTTATTCTTTCTATTTCAAAGCATGCTTTCTATAAAAAGATACAGTAGTAATCTGGTAAGGGAATCATCATTCCTTACTAAATTTAGCCTTTTGAAGGGAGTCTTTGTGTTTTATTTATATTCTCTAGAACTGAGTATGTTGTACTTAGTGTAAAGGAGTCATACAATAGAGGTTGCTTAAATGAATAAATTGATTAAGCTTCTACTGTATATCAGGCATTGTACCTTGAGAGGCAGGTCATATGCTCTTCATCTTACAGTTGAGGAAATTAAGTCTCAAGGAGGTTGAGTAACTTGTTTAAGATCACAAGCTGTAAATAGCAAAACCATCAGGTAAAGTCATGTTTTACTGACACTCTAAAATCCTTGTTTTTTCTGCTAACCATACCAACGGAATTCCTTCTTTAATCATTAAAAGGAACTTGATATCAGCAAGTTATTATAAATACTTTGGAAAACTTTTAAGGAATAATCAAATTGAAATTACTAATTAGAAATTTATTTTTCTCAACTCTTCTTTCCTGGCAAAGTGTAACAATGTGGCTAGCTGATGGTAACAAAACTAAGTTAACTTTTAAAGCATATGGGATTGGGAAGGGAAAAAAATAAAGCATATAGAATATACCAAAAAATATTACAATGTAGCTGACAAATATTACTAACACATGTTTAACATCCATTACAGAATACAAATTACGGTGTCTTTACTCTTGAGTAGTAAATGATCTGATTATGTATGCAAGAAATATGTATATTATAGATATTTTCACATACACGATTTTTTTCTAAATATTGATAAACCCTCAGAAAATACATTTTTATTATCACTATTAAACATTTCTTATGGCATTTATCAGAACACTTAATTTTTTTCTAATTTCAGTTAATTTTAAAATTTCATAAAATTTGACCTAAATCAATGATGTTTTTCTTTAGTAACAGGTACTTCATGTTTATTTCTTTCACTAGTTTTAAATAATTCACAATTTTAACAAAAAGTTTTTATTTTTGCGTTTAAAAAATATGGAATGTTTTATGAATTTTCTTAGAGTGAATGCATTTGTCTCATAGTGTACATACTACCCACAGAATATCCTATATATTTTAAAGTATCTTGAACAGTGTTTTTAGAACATAATATTAAACAATATCAATTTTGTCATTTTCATAATTTCTTATAAGTTTATCACTTAAAAAAATTTGATCATTATTTATAAACTTCAAACGAGAGTAGAAGCAGAAGGTTTAATTTTAATCCTTTTATCTTATCGAATTGTTTACATTACTGACAACATTAGAACCTTATGTTATTATATATAATACATATGTGTCTACACACATGTTTAAGCTACACATTGTGTTTAAATTATGTGAAATTAGATAATATTTCTGAGCTCAAGGAAGAGAGTTTAATCCCAACAGAAACAAGGAGGCACTTGTCTCATCACATTACCATGAAATAAACTATATTAAGACAGAAACTTCTAGTTTAATATTATTATCTTTGGACTTACCTGGTATTCTGACCGCTTAACTAATAAAAATCCTTCAAAGTATAAGGGTAGAGCAGTAATCTTTAACCTTTCTTGAAAGATCCTGCGAGGGGCTGGTTTTGGGGGCTTCATAGCCATCATAACCTCTCACTGGCGTGTGGTTTGGTTTCAACTGTATCCAGTCTCAAACAAAATGAGATCTCTCTCATGTGAGAAGAAAAGGCAACCAAAGAGGAAGTCCCAACTTGCTTTTAAACCACCAACAGGACATGCACACATACACACACACACATTTTTTTCCTTTACTTTTTATGAGGTAAGAAAAAACAGGCATAGACCAACTTTCAGAAAGCTATCTCTGAGTAAACTACACGTAATTAGAATTACAATAGCAAAATAAACAGAAGATTAATATCACCAGAGGATGAAAGGAACCCCTGTGGAAATCATGGGCTTTAAAGGAGACATCAACATCAAGGCTACATTTGTTTTCCTTCTTTCCTTTTTTTTTTTTTTTTTTTGCTGTTTAGTTTTATTCTCAGAAGACAGGACTTGAATTATCTCCAATTTGCTAAAAATAGCTTAATAGAATAAGTTATTAGGACTATTTCTGTTGTAATTCAGGATCAAACTTTGTTTAAATTTTTAGAAAAATGGAGCTCTTTATGCCCATTCTGATGGTCCACTAAGTTATAAGAATATGGGATTTTCCACTTTTTTGTCAGTATTCTGAGTTCATGGGTTACCATTCGATGTTTGACAAAATATACAGAGGAAGCTATTAAATTTTCAAAATTTATTTTGTTTTTTTATGATTTTTTGAGCTGTGGATTACTGATGCTGTGATGAATAGATGGGGTCTCTACAGTTATCTTGTGAGATTTATAGAGCTGCAATGGGGCAAAATGCATTTAATAGTTGCATATGGGAAATGGTCCCTGAGAGACTGGATTTGGCTCAACACTGTGAAAGGAATGATGGTAGAAGGGAACATCAGGAGGAATTCTAGTTTGCTTTGCAGGGGTCCTGATAAGTTCCATCATTTCCTATTTTTCCCTCAATATTTAGAAAAACTCTGGATTTATTATAACCTGGGCCTGAGCATTCTCTCCAGTTAGGCCAGCCTATTGTCGGAAATCAAAGCAAGCCAGGAACCTCCAGTCTGATCCTCCTTTCCTAATGGAGAGACCACATGGTTTTCTCCACCAGTATGGATTCCATTGGCTCTACAGCAGCAAATATGAGAAGCCAAATTGTCCACAAAGTGAGGTACAACAATACAGACTGATTATCAGTAAACTAGAGAGGAGTGTTCAGGTGTATTATCAAAATGAAAACAGCTTGAAACAGAAATTGGGAATTTAAGATTCAAAATTACTGCCTTGCTTTTATATTAGGTTGAGACCTGCTTCCTATTACTCACATCTTCAAGTGAAAAAATCTAAGTCCAGCTTAATTTTGTTGAGACACAACTGTACTGTTTTTTTTTTTTTAGTTTTAATGTAATAAGAAAATGAATTGACTAACACAGGTAAACCTTTTGATTTGCTTGGTGACCTAATCCACATTCTTGGCAGCTGGTAGCTGGTGTGACACAGAGAGATAGTGAAAAGAGGAATGAGAACTGAGAAATGAGAAGAAGCAGCCAGAAGGAGGTAGGATGCAGGAATTATAAGTGGTTGTAATATGAGAAAAGTAGTTACTGGCTTTATGGCCAAAAAGTTGCATGGGAGAAAAGAATGCTTCTTTAGAAATATTTTGAGAAATAATGATCTAATTAATTAATGAATAATGATGATCTAATAATGATCTAATTAATAATGATCTAAATAATGATCTAATTAATTATATCTTTCTTACTTTTAAAGAAATAAGCAAAGAAAAACCAGTTCATCAGCCTCTGTAAGTTGCTTTAGTTTGCTGATTTGCAAGTCAAATTAATCCCTAATATACCAAAGTTCAAAAACTGTCTCCCTAACAACCAAAAACAAAAAACAAAAAACAAAACAAAACAAAACAAAAAAAGTACAGAAAAGCATACAAAAACCCGCCATAAACTATAAATGCAAAAATCTTGCTGAAACATTATTAACCAATTAGACCTTTCAGCAATTTCCATCATTGTACCATTGCACCATTACAATGGGAATCCTCTTACAGATATACCGAGTTTTAGGTGTTGAATAATTAATGTGTAGGTAAAGAAATGTAGTAGAAAAAGTATATGGGCATAGAGAGAAAAGCCAATTTTGCCACTAACCAGCTCTGAAATCTTGAACAAACCACTTAAGGTCTCTGGGATCACAGCTTCCTCAGCTATGAAATGAGCAGTTGGACTAAGTGACTTCTTGGTTGAAGAGTTTCAGTAGGCTTCTAAGCAGTCTACTTTCCACTCTTTTTCTTCTTTGATTCATTTAAAAGCATTAAAACATTTTAATGGATTCTCATTGCTTTTGAGATTCATTTTTTCATTCAACACTAAATATTTATTGATTACCAGCAATGTACTCAAGCATGACACATGGATCCTTCATAATAGGACCCTTTTAAGTTGAAACTTCTTTAAAAATACTCTTTTCTAGTAACTTTGGTTACTCTACCATGTTTTTTTATGACAAAAGAAAGAGGAGGAATCACTGCTATTGAAGTGATATACTTCCTGGATGCCACATAGATACAGGACACATACAAATTTCTATATGCAATGAACAGTAGAATAATGGCAGTTTTCATAGAAACTGGAAATTCCAGATAGGGAGATAGTTTAAGGAGTAGAACAATAATGAATTCAGTTTTAACTACTTCAAACTCAATGTATACAAAGATTATGTCTACAGTGTTCTTCCCTTTCACTTCATTTAAGATCCATTAGTGTCTATAGCCATGTCACCCTGAACATGCTCGATCTCGTCTGATCTTGGAAGCTAAACAGGGTTGGGCCTGGTTAGTACTTGGATGGGACACCTCCTAGGAATACCGGATACTGTAGGCTTAAAAAAAAAAATCCATTAGTGCTTCTTTAGGAGATAAAGTAGATTGGTGCTTAACATCCATTCCAACCCCTTTTGGTGTGCCATTCTTTACTGCAGAGGCTGACTGCTAATCTACAGTCCTTGTCCATGACTCTGTTTGTTTGTCATGTTTGTTTGTTGCTTTTGGTTTTATATCCCACATAAAAGTGAAATTATATGGTTTTCAACTTTTCTGTCTGACTTTTTTCGCTTAGCATGATTATCTCAAGATCCATCCACATTGTCACAAATGGCAGTATTTAATCTTTCTTGTGGCTGAGTAATATTCCATTGTATATATGTACCACATCTTCTTTATTCAATCATTTATTGTAGGACACTTCGATTGCTTCCATGTTTTGACCACTGCGAATAATGCTGCTGTGAACATCAGGGTGCATATACCTGCGAATAAATGTTTTCAGGTTTTTTGGGTAAATACCCAGAAGAGAGATTGCTGGATCATGTGGTAATTCAATTCTTAGGTTTTTGAGGAATCTCCATACTATTTTCCATAGTGGCTGTACCAATTTGCTCTCCCACCAGCAGCATATGAGGGGTCCTTTTTGCCCACCATACACCAAAATTAACTCAAAATGGATTAAGGACCTGAAATAATAAATTGCATAGAAGAAAACATAGGTACTAAACTCATGGACCTTAGATTTAGAGAGAATTTTATGAATTTGACCTCAAAGGCAAGGGAAGTAAAAACAAAAATAAATGAATGGGACTATATCATATTAAAAAGCTTCTGCATAGCCAAAGAAACCATCAACAAGGCAAAGAGGGAACCATCCAAATGGGAGAATTTATTCTTATGCTGCCTTTGGTTTTTCTGGAAGCAAGCATGGTCTGCAGATATCTGATTTTTTTCTGTGGCAATGTTATCATAAATCCCAGTGTGTGCTTCTGGAGCCAGAAGCAATAAGGAAGCTTCCTGCTCACGGAGGCTTTTTATTTGTGGTGGCTTCCTTGATATGGCAGGTTTTTAATTGTGATGGCTTCCAGATTGTTCAATGTCAGTATGATTCTGGAGATTCCAGCGCTAGCATTAACTTCTCAATTTTTCAATTTGCTTCCAGACTGTACATGTAGCAGCTAACTCTTGGTGATTAGTTTTGCAGTGTATTTCGAGAATCATTCCTGAAAGCCCCAAATACATTATTTCTTCATCCCTCCCAACAATTCTGTAAGCTGATAAGTGCTAATGAGTAGATCCCAAAAAAATCGTGAAATCTAACCTAGGTAATTGACCCCTCATCAATATAGTTCCCCACTCTCTATAGGAATAAGTGAAAAGTTATCTTAACATTGAAGATGCTCCATAATCTTCATTTTGCAAACATGAACGCTTTGCAATACCTGACAATTTTTTTTCTCTGTCACCAGTAAATCAATTCTGCCTCATGTCTTGGCTTGCAGTTTATCTTCCTATTTCTTTTACCTCATAAATCTCTTACCATTAGCTATTGCCTACAAGCTACAATTTTGGCATTTTATTGTTTACAATTTATTTTGGCATTTGAATTTACAAACATATATCATGTCTGATACATAATTAAATTAAAAATTATTTTTATCAAAGATGGAAAGCTTACTTATACAAATTTTAGACAAAACAGAAAAACATAAATAAGAAAATGAAAATCACATGCTACTCTACCATCTGCCATTTGCACTGTACAGATGGGTACCATCACTTTTTGGCACTTTTTCTTTATTTGTGTATATTTATGCAATCAGGTTAATACTATACGTGCTATTTCCTAAACTGCATTTTTTTCATATAATATATCTAGAGCATATTTCCATGATGATAAATATAAATGTACATTATTTAATTTTTTGCCTAATACCATCAAAGTAATTTAAGTCTTTGCAAAGGTAAAACTACAATGTAGAACTATATTATAAAGCTTTTGAAAATCTAAATGTGTTTTAAATGACACAACCTTTCACGAGGTAAGAATTGCATTGATTAGAAATAAACTGTGAGTACAGAATGGAGACTCAGAGACTAGTGTATTTGTTGTGTTCTTGTTAAGAGAAATAATGTACATATACTATAATTGCAACTAAGAATCAAATGGTAGGCACAGAGGTAACTTAAGAAAGGTAAAGTTCAGT